GCTTGCTGGAGGTCGTCCACGAACTTAACGTTCTCTGCAACCTTGGCTCTATTGTGAACGACTTTACTACAAAGTGAAGATTAGATTTTGGCGCGCACAGAAAGCAGAAAGCTACGTAGGCGAAAGCGCCAGTTGCTCGACCTACCTGCGTGGCCCGTGCGACGAAATAACTTCACGGGATTGGCAAAGTTTCAGTCACAGCAAATTAAGCAAAAGCGACATATCAATGACTTCAACCATCGTGTTGTATACAAACCTCACAAACTTTAAAACACGTTCTCTAGTGATACCTGCGAAAGTATTCAGTATAATTTCCGGTAAAATTTTCGCGGACAATCTGATCGATCTCTCTTGTATGCTGAGACTGAAACTTTTCACCTCAAGCAAATCTCCGTCGCACGGTCCAAACAATCATAGCGAGAAACTGAGCTACTAGTATATATGTCCGTGTTAAAACACACGAAAGGTTTCTAAAGTACACTTCGCTCTGATCGGGCAGAAAAACGCAAAGATTTTCTGGCACCAATCAGATGGCAGAGCGACTGCGACCGTTTGGAACTAGTCTTGTAAGACAATGTCCCCAGGGGCTCTTCATGCCCTAACTTGAAATGGACTCAGGCCCTGGGTCGTCGAGAATGCGATCACTGGAGAGTTGTTCCTTTTTGCGTCTCTTGCGGCTCGCAGCTTCTGCCGCTTTCGAATACGTTGCCTGCCTTCTAGGGAAAGTTTCTTGATTGAAACCGAAAGTGAAAGTGAAACCGAAAGTGAAAGCATCGAGCCAATTCAGTGGTGGATCCAGGGGGAGGGTCCAGGGGGTCCGGACCCCCTATCAGACCTCATGCTTACAACTTTGAGACAGAAATTCTTACATCCGCAGGATCGTATATCACTTTCTAACTGGCTGATTTTTTAAATTAATGAATCCAAGTACACGGTAAGCGGCCAAGGAATTATAACGTGCAACCGCGACTGGTGGGAGGGGGTGTGGGGGGTGTGGGAGAGAAGTAATTTGCCTCAAAAGAGTCCAACAGTCCTTTCTGAACCAAAGTTTGGACCCTTTTTTTTTACCCCCCTATCAAAAATTCCTAGATCCGCCCCTGAAATTTGTCGCAAATCAAGAAACTTTCCCAAGAAGGCAGGCAACGAAAAAAGCGATAGGTGCATATTACGTTTAAACTAAAAAATCAAGATGAAAGATAAAAATTGCTAAATATTTTCGCATGTGTGCAAATGGGCATGTGGATAATATTTCAAAATGGAATATGCGAATCTGTCCGTGAGTGAAGAGTGTTGAAAATTCTGAAAAAACTTCAATTTACGCAAAATCTACTATTAAACAATACTTTTTGAACACATTGTTACTTGAACATAATATTTACCGGGTCATCGAATCGTCAAATTGTCACCTTTAAGACCTTGATATCCATTCTTTTCCAAGCAGAGTATTCTATAGCATTGTTACTTTACATTCTGAGTTCCACAAGGTCTAACTTCACTTTACGTCCATAATTCGCATCGCCTTAGAGAATCGTAGTGTCGTTGACTTGAGAGCTTATTCTGTCACTTGTAAGACCTGGATATCAATTCTTTTCCAAGCAGAGTATTCTATAGCACTGTTACTTTACATTCTAAATTCCACAAGGTCTAACTCAATCGCAAATGAACAAAAAATTTGACCTAAAAATTTTGAGGGTCAGCCGCGTGGACGCCATATTTTCAAATTTGATCATTTAGTGAAGACGCTTAGAGTAATGCCCCTCTAGTACCCCCTAAAGTCAAAAAAATATATGCACAAACAACGGATTCTGATTGGCTTATTGATCTCCAAACTATAGAGGAAGTTTGGGGACAAAACTCCCCTTAGTAGGGGAGGTAGGGGGAAAGCATTCTCGCGCGAGGCGATCGCGAAGTTCGGGCCGTTCAGGTGTCAATGTGTTAATATGAATGCAGTTTTCAGTTGATTCAGTGCAGAAGAGAGTTAATTCAGTGCAGAAGAGGGTTAATTCAGTGCAAAGAAAGAAACAAACCAGACATTCTGATTGGTCAATGTCAATGTCACTTGCAGGGTTTGAATAAATTATTTTTGCACATGATGCACACGCTTTTCTTCTGCGTAGTTATGAGAAGCTACCTGGTATTTTTTCATGTATATTATTATCAGATAATCACATGATTTTCTCGTGCAATTTGAAGTAAATAAACACTTGAAAATTTTTTTTAAGACCACCAACTGCACTCGCCCTACCAGCTCATGCAATTTTGTTAGTCTTTGAAAAAATTTATTTGTGCTTATTTATTGCAAATTGCACTCAAAATCATGTGATTACCTATACAAATTATTATTATTAAAGCAACTTAAAAAAAAAAAACTGTTTGGTTACTAAAATGGNATCAAAAATTCCTAGATCCGCCCCTGAAATTTGTCGCAAATCAAGAAACTTTCCCAAGAAGGCAGGCAACGAAAAAAGCGATAGGTGCATATTACGTTTAAACTAAAAAATCAAGATGAAAGATAAAAATTGCTAAATATTTTCGCATGTGTGCAAATGGGCATGTGGATAATATTTCAAAATGGAATATGCGAATCTGTCCGTGAGTGAAGAGTGTTGAAAATTCTGAAAAAACTTCAATTTACGCAAAATCTACTATTAAACAATACTTTTTGAACACATTGTTACTTGAACATAATATTTACCGGGTCATCGAATCGTCAAATTGTCACCTTTAAGACCTTGATATCCATTCTTTTCCAAGCAGAGTATTCTATAGCATTGTTACTTTACATTCTGAGTTCCACAAGGTCTAACTCGATCGCAAAGGAACGAACAATCCAACCTGAAAATCTTGAGGGTCGGCCGCGCGGACGCCATATTTTCAAATTTGATCGTATAGTACTTTAATGATAGCATACATGACAGAGGGCACATACTTACGAACGCTCAGTCAGTCACGTGACAATCAAACGAAAAGAGGTTGACCATAATCCATGGGTATGGGGCTCTACCCCGCGCGCGCAAAGCGCGCGTGGAAGCCCCGCTATTAGTCGTGTTGGGAAAACGGCGGAGTTGAGATCAATGTACGACTTTGGTCATTCTTCATTCTAAAGGAGACTGAGTGGAACATGAGAAAAATTTTGAATCAAATATTGCTTGAGATGTTTGTGGGAGCAACTTCAGAATACCCGGCCGCTAAAAAGTGGATTGCTCCCGCGGTCCCGATTTCGAAAAATAATATTAAAAGAGAGGACATTTAAACAAGTGGTCCCGCATTCACGCTTTCCTGAAGTTGAAGAATGATAAAATGATATGGCCGTTAAACTAGTGCATCCGCAATCTCGCGCTCACGAAGTCGAAGAATGATATAACGAGAGGGCCGTTTAACTAGTGCTCCCGTAATTCCGCGCTGTTGAAGTCGAAGAATAATTAAAGAAAAGGTGAAGTTTACCAAGTGTTGGCGTAGTCCTGCGCTTAATTTATTTCGTTTTCTCGACTGAGGGATATTTCATGGCTATAAATGAATTCCATTTTCAATTTAAAGAAAAAGGTAGAATGATAAATAAACCTAAGGCGTATCTAAGCAATTTATTGGAATACTGTCAACAGACATGAGTAAAGCATTTGATTCCCTACATCCATCACTCATGATAAATAAACTGAAGGCGTATGGCTTTTCAGAGGAATCACTCAGCTTGATGAGATCATATTTCTCCAAGCGACAAAACAGAGTCAAACTAAATGGAGTCACCAGCAGTTCGAAGGATGCCATTGGAGGATACCCTCAAGGGTCATCATTTGGACCCTTACTGTGGAACATTTTTCAAATTGATATGACCTGTATAATAGATAATGCAAGCTTGTCAATGTACGCTGACGATCATCAGCTGTACGTAAAGGGGCATTCAGTTCACTGCGTGGAACAACTTTTAACCAATGGGGGGCACACCATATCAAAATGGTACAAAGAAAACTTTTTGAAGGGAAATTACGACAAGTACAATTTAATGTTATTAGGCAGGAAAAACAAAAATGAGGATAATCCATCTATCAATATTAAGATTGAGGAACAGGTGATTAAATCATCACCAGACTTGAAGTTACTGGGAGTAACACTAGATGATGAACTTAGTTTCAGTACTCATATAAACGATATATGTAAAATGGCAAGTAGGAAAGTTGGTGTTCTAGTACGTCTCAGAAAAATGATTCCCGGAGAAGCCAAGTTACAATTGTACAAATCAGCAATTCTACCTAACTTAACATATTGTCACAGTGCAAAGCATCTGATGCAAGAAAATTAGAAAGGATGCAAGAACGGGCATTACGTGCTGTATATAATGATAGAAACGCTACGTATGAGGAACTCTTAGAGAAGGGAAGACTCTCTAGTCTTAAGAACAGACGGTTGCAAGATATACTCATTTTAATGTATAAGGTTAAAAATTCACTAGCTCCAGAGCATGTATATGATATGTTTTTTCAGCAAGATAAGCATTATAACTTACGAAGTGAGTTTCCTGCTCCAAGATATAATACTGTTAAGTATGGCAAGCACAGTATCAGATATTTAGGCCCACACATATGGGGCAAGATAAGCCAGGAACTACGCAGTAAGATCAGTCTTCAGGCACTCAGGAGAGGGGTGCGTGCTCTCAATGTGCTTGGCTTGCTTGATGGCACGTGTGGCTGCTGTGCATGCTCATCTTAAAGAGGTGGGTATGCATAGTGGCTTTTGCTGTGTGGCTGCCTGGTGTATTGGGAGTGTGTTCCCCTACCCTCTATTAAATTCGTCTTATTTAAATTTTCTAGACTTTTAACTTTCAAAATTCTGTATATACATTCTATTACTGCTTATATGATTGTCTGTAACAATTTTATTTATTGATGCTTTTTATATATATTAATGATATTTTGAGAATATATCCTTAATATTTTAACATATACTCTATTTAATCTTATATTATACTCATGTTATTCGTTTATAGTGTCCACAATTAGCTTTTAGCTAAATACCTTGACACTTCAATAAAGTTTATGTACGTATGTATCTACAAGAATTGTGAGCTCATCTACTCAGTGTACTGGCTGTCATTCGTGAGGACTTTATCGCTATGATCTGTCGGGATTAGAAAGGTCGTCAGGGAATTTATTCTACAAATTGCAAATTAAAACGTGCATGTTTTGTGTACCACTCCTTCACTTATAACGCAGACACCGTCGGCTAAAGGCCTAACACGAATTTAGCACCGGAGCGTGTTGTTTTTGAGGGGCTAGTTTTGCTGATTCTGGTAAAACTTGCGCAAGGCATTTGCATAAATTATATTTGATTGATGATCTTATTTTTTGCCCTGTGGCTGCTTTCTTTGAGAAGGTTGAAAAGAACACCAAGTTATAGTTACTTTCTGGGTCGACTGCCATGTCAAATATCCGTTTCTTTCCTTCTAAAAGTTCTCAGTGAATTAAATATCATGGGCTACACTTTCTCAGGTGAAATGCCATTTTCCAGTAAGCAACGTAAATTTTATGACATAATTCTGCCTCACCGAAAATATTTCACAAGGAATATCATGGTAAAGTCGGTCAATTTTCCACGCAACTCTCACGTGCTTAGACGTTTTCTACCAATGAAATTCGTTTTTAGCTACCTTGGACTTTACCCCATTGCGTGTCAATTCCCTGTAAACAATCTGCATTTTATCACGTATTTCGCACGCACAGGGCAAAGTCCAGATAGGCAACAACCAATTAAGAAGCCCACATTGTTATGCTTTGAAAAACGATACTTTTTTCTTCGTTTAGTCTATTTTCACTGGTGCGAAGAACGGACACTGGAAAACATCTTTGTCCAGAGGCTGTTGGAGATAAAATAGAGCTTTCCACTGCAAAATTATATGGAAGAATATTTTGAGGCGACTATCTGTTACCAAACAAGAGGATACACGGAGCCTATACTCTGGCCGGATCTACGGTTCAGCGGATTGATTTGAATTGGTTCGAATTGAAGGCGTTGCTGTTTTAGCAAAATTGCTGTCTATTGCTTTTCATTATTTGTTAACATGGAGAGTTATGGAGATTAAGACTTTGGAACAAGTTGATGCCATCCATGACTAGAGGAATTGCTAGAGGAAATGCAGGGTCGCTCAATAAAAATTTGCATTTGAACGCGATGACTTTGTTTTTAAGGATTTCTCCTGCTTACATCTTATAACAAACCTCTGAAGTTTTTTGCCCCGGAACGATATATCCCTGAAGGCATCTTATCGCAAGTTTTTTGACTGATTGAAATTTAAGGTATGTGGAAGCAACTTCAACAAATTTTTTTTGTCAGAAAAGTATAGCTCTTTCGTCCGCTATATTAATCTATTAATAGATCCAATCGCCAAAGGTTACATACGACAATGAACTTTTACTGTTCCCAAGGGTTTTTGTTTTCATCTGTACGATAACAATCGAAGTGATTTACAGTATTAGGTCTGTGCTTTCAATAAATATATCTAAGTTAGCTCGAAAGATAAATTTAAACTGTAACATGCTTGGTTATCGGCCCAGCATTTCAAGCCTGACTGACACTCGATGCCAAAACTCATCCTCGTTCCCAGGCTATGTCCACCACATTGCTTTACGCCAATTAAAAAATGCTACGTAATGCCTATTGTGCATCTGAGACGTTTGAGTAGTCCAGTGGTCAGTGCGCTGGACTCTGGGTCAGATGGCTCGGGTTCAAGTCCTGGCTGGGGCTTGACGTTGTGTCCTTAAGCAAGACGCTTCACTCACATTGCTTCGTCTTCTCGGATAGGACGTAAAGCCGGAGGTCCCGTCTCCTGCACCTATCAATTAGTTAATTTCGGCAGGGGACGTTAAAGAACCCACATCACGAGATTACTGTGATGTGGTCTGGCCTGTTTACTGGGAATGGGGGAAGGGGGCATCTGTAAAATTTCTCCTTTATTAATTGTAAACTGCCGCCTCAAGAAGCTAGAGTCTCGAGCGACTGTTACGCCTCTTTCGTGCTTAGCAACCTCCCGCGTGCATCCATAACTCAATAGTGTACGCTTTGATGTTTACCATTTGTTAAATATTTTGCCGCTCCTCGTCAGCAAAAACAGAGCAGCTCCAGTTCCCACTCCCACACCCGTGATCGACTCCATGATCAACACCAAATTTCGCCACCCTCGCTCGGCTGTTACGTTCCACCTAAGTGATGGGGAGGTTACGAAAGCATTTCTGAGAAAAGCGTAACTGGGGAGGAAAAGAGTGAATCGAGTGCAAATCTTATAATTAAATGAGGAAGGAGCCAGATCATGGGAGGAAAACATGGGAAAGGGGGCTTTTCGCATTTGCATATGTCTGTGGCCATATTAGCGTGATTATGTAGCCTGACTGTATTGTTCAAGACACAATGGACATTGTGTTTTAATCAATGTACAGCAACATAACTGAAGCATTGCTCTACAGATAAGCGTCAAGATAAGGAGTGATAATTGTGGTCACGTACGTAAATATCTTATTGTACTTTTTATGTTTATTGATGATAGTTGTCAAATTTTGCGTCCTTTTTCAGCTAATTACACCATACAGCTGCGGTTCAAATGCCAGCGAGATCCAAGGACATATCCTTCTGAACAAACAGAAGACACTGAGTTCCTTTTGGAAAGTTTGTGCTTGTGAAGACCAGGTATCAGCTGTGAATTTTTTAGGGAACTGAACTTTTTGACTATGGTTAAAAACAGTGACAAGGCAAAGTGTTTTGTGCTGCTGACGAAATTCACAGCCCGTAAATATAGCAACGAGGAAACGTTTACCAAACTTTTACAAATTGCATCCTACAGAAAACAACTGGAAGGACTTTACAGAACGCAGTCAACACGACACAAAAACCAAGCAGCGTTGAATATGCTTTTTCAAATTCTTCAAGTGCAAGAGGTTGGAAGCACCGAGCAGTACTGCATAGATGGGTCCGTGTTTAAAGTTCATGTGCTTGAGGATACAGAGTTTTAACGTTATTAACTACAAGGACTGAATTCAACACTTCGTTATCGCCGGCGTTCTCACCGTATAATGAAACAGTAGTCAGTAGTTGTTCAAATATTGATTGAAGTGCTTGACTGTAAGAGCACAAGGAAGTAATTTATTAGCTCCGATATGGCCGGGTATTATTGGCGGGATCGACCGAAGAGAAAGATCGAGTTAACCCTGATAATTTTTTCTGAGAAGAATGTAAACTTACTAAACGCACAGTTTAACGTCAACGTTTTCAAAATTCGAAACAAAAACAAATTTTAAAACTTCAGTGAAGTTATCCAATACTCGTTCAGTGTATCGGATGCAGATGGCCAAGCCATCTGCATTTTGTGATTGTATAATAGTGGGGTAAGTTTTTAGGTAATACTTTCATTTTCATTTTAGATTAAAATTTGGAAAAAACATAGAAACACTGAATCAAAATATTCTAATCGAAACTTTGAATGCCTCAGTGCAGATTTGATAAACATTGACTAAGCGCGATACCTAGTAAACTTAAAGATGGAATTTTTAAATTAGTTGCGAAGACAGGGGGCCTTATAATACATTCATAATAGCAAACGCTATCTCTTCTGGGTTTTTGAAAATCAAATAAACAGGTCGCTTCTAATTGCTAAGGCGTTTTCATTATTTTGAATTCTTTGAAAATGCATTCACACATTCTGAACTGATCAATCGTGTCTTCTTTTCGTAATTAACACGTCTGTGAACCGAAACGACAAAAGTAAACAATATGGCTTTCAAAATCTAACCCTAGGGGGGGAACATACATACATATACATACATGAGCTTTATTTATACACGATATCAATTTCACATAAAATATGCTCTTCCATCGAGCCGTGTGTAAATATACAAATAATTATTCTCGCTTGCACGCGAGACACACCCCTGAAGGTGCACGGTACCCTTAAGCTTATGGAGTCAACTCCATAGAAATTCAGCTTTTTAAGTAGTATTTCATGATCAACAGTATCGAAAGCTTTAAGATCGAGAAAAAGAACTCCATTTAGTAAGCCATTATCCATATTAGAAAACCAATCATTGGTTATATCTAGAGGGGCAGTCAAAGTGGAATGACAAGGTCGAAAACCCGACTGAGCATCGGCAAGTTAATCATGTCTCATTAAAAAAATCATATAACTGGTTGAAGACCACTCTCTCAATAACTTTACTAACAATCAGCAAGACAGATATAGGTCTAATTATTTGGATTAGTTTTGATATCATCCTTGTAAAAAGGACAGCTTCATAGTTTGAAACACGGAGTCATTTAGCTTCTGTCTGAAAAGCCAGCTGAAGCCGCCTGACACAAAACTAGAACGAGTTTCCTGTACTTTGGAGAACGCATCAAAAGTTCTTGTGAGGCCTCTTCAAATAGGTGTGTTATTCATGTCGTAAGTCACACGTCGGTGTTACTTTTTCCAGAAGGAATGCAGAAAAACAGCCACAATTTTTGTATTTCCTTAGAGCAATATTATTGATTGGAGAATGTGAAGAGGCTCTTTTAAGCATTATATATGTTCTGCTTGGTGAACCACAAAGCCTCCGGCTGCGGTAATCTTTGTCAACAACTTATGCTCTGTTAAGACTCAGTCTCAGAGGTCGGAGCTTGGCCAAGTCTTGGCTTGAAAATGAAGCCATGGTAAGATTTAGTCTCAGAGCCTAGTTAGTGGTCCATCCTGAAGTCGGTGCTCGGCTAGGTCTCTATTGCATTTAGTCTCAGGGCCTAGAGGTTTGAGCTCAACCAGGCCTCAGTAGCATTTAGTCTCAGAGCCTATTGATCCATAGTACGGCTGGAGCTTAGCTAAGCCTCTGTCACATAGCGATTTTGTCCTGGCAGTTTGAGGTAGAAGTTCCTTAAGTTTCATTCCCTCGACGAAGTTAGACCCTGTTAAAATTGAGTTTCTTGCTCAAAAACACAATATCATGACTTGATCAGAGCCCGACCCTGGACCTTATCCACAGTCTCCCAAGGCAAGTCTGATTAGAAGTTCTATCAGTGCTGAGCGTTACACGCGCAAGAAAGCGGTCGAAGGAGGATCATGTATATTCCTACTTTTGCTCTAGGATGTCGTCAAACAAGTTTTTAACTTCCCTTTTTTTCGCGTCAGCTTGTTTGGATTTTTTCTTAATCAAAAGTAAAGCAAGCTCGACATCGTCGACCCACGCATCGCAAATGCTGCTGTTAAACTTGTTTTCCACATCTCTCATTTTGTGGTCAACTAATTCTTCTACGGTACATGCTGAGTTATACTTTAAATCAGTGTTATGATCAGATAGAGAAAATGACGAAGAACAACTTGTCGTTGTTGAATCCTCAGAACTAACCGAACTCCTCCGCGATTGCTTGTCTGTATTCCAGCGCTCTTTCTTACTCTCCAGCTGCAGCGTCTTGAGATACTGTGCCACCTTATTTTGCTTCTCTTTGAATTTTCGCTCCTGCTCCTCTTCCCAGGTTTCTTGCTCAAGTTCAATTTGCCACAATTGATCAGAAGATTCCTGAATATCAGTTTCGAGGGGGGGATGGTTATCTTCGGTTGCCTCAGTTTGTTTGGGATAATCGTAAGTCTTTTTCATCAAACAGGGAGACGGTTCAGGAGTTCTTCGTGGGAATCGGGACCACTTCCTCGGTGGACTTTGAACATGACGTGTAGCTTTTTTGGTTTCTGCTATTTCTTCTTTTGGCAATTTTTTTCCTACTGTTGTCGAGGATTTCGGCACTACCGGTGTACTTTGTTTGCTTACGTTGGCTGGCATAACAACGTTCTTTGCACTGGAATCGTCGGCTGTGACAGAGCTAACACAAGGTTCCCTTCTGTTGACATTACTGGTTTGCTGCTTTTCGTTTTCAGAGGAACTGTTACCAAAGTTATGCCAATCTGAAAAATCATCGTTCACCAAATCGTCGAGGAAAGCTTTCGTGTCATCTCCGTACACCTGACCTAATAACCCCGATGACTTTTTTCGCTTGTTCACCGCCGACATGATCTATCTACGACGTATTACTTCTTCAAAATTCTGTCGGAATGCGAAGCCGTTAGCGAGTTTTTCTTCGTCAATTTGACCGATATCCTTTGCAGTTAGAATTACGGGACGACAAAACTAGTCCAGTTGCCAGTAACTTTTATGGCAGATGACTACCAAGTTCAAACTCGGGGACAAAAAGAATGCAGTGACTAATCAAGAGTATTCAATCTGACCGGTGTATTGCAGGTTTTAGCAATCCTAAGGCAACTTCCATCTTGAATATACTTTCTACGTCATGCTCGGAGAAAATGTTACTTATCTCGGTCTTTTCATGTTTGACTTAGTTAGAAAAATTTATTTAAAGAAAAAAGAGGACTTATGAATAATAAACAAAGCTGAAAAAGCAATTAATAAATTATGACTTAACAGTTTTTTCTTGAACCTGATTATGCAATAACATGACAAATAGACACTATTGCCAGGGGTAACTCATGGGTGAAAGGAATATGAGCTGCAAAATTCCTGATTAACCGAAAATCTACTAAGCTTGCACACGTGACTGACGCATGCAGCCGCTACCAGACAAAGCTCATACGTATTTCTTTCCCCTGCATTGCAGCGACTTCAGTGAAGTATTGTTACTCCTTGATGGGTGGTATACGCCACTCTACCGCAGTTGAATCCACAGTATTTAGTTAAGTATCTTTGATAGTTCGCCGAATCCTGTGTTCTGTACGTGTCCCGGATGGAGAGTGGAATGTCAGGGCAAGTTGCCTGCGGGGAGTAACTCAGACAGAGCTCGGACTCCAATAGTAATCAAAGTTTAATGTCTTTACGTGGGGCATGGTTACCCATATTGCCCGAGCCAGAGGCTCATGTATGAAACGCAAGACAACAACCCACCCATCCCACCCCAGGGGAGGACATCCATCACACAGTAATCTCGTGCGTGGGAAATTAACGTCTCCTACCCCTAACCCTGCAGGAGACGGGACCTCCATTTATTCGTCCCTATCCGAGAAGACTAGAATATCTAAACCATTTCTTGATGTTATAGAAAGGCAGCATATTTTTCTCAATTATTTTAAGACCTTGAGTGCTGGATCGGCCGGGGCTCGAATCGTCGACCTCCCGCACATCAGTCCAGCGGTCTATCTATTGAGCTAACCGGGAGGCAGTTAAGACCCTTAAGTCCGGTTTCCGCAGCACCAATCTTTAGGACCCCGTGTCTCCGTCTTTGTGAAATTGTGTTAAGTGATTTTTATTTCAATTTGCTTTCAAAAGCAGAGATGAGAATTCATTAGTTGACACCCAGAACTGTTTCAATAGAGAAAAAAAAACATGCTCGTACGTTCAACGCTAAAAATTTCCATTACAGCTGCTAATAATGAGATCTAAATTTTAAAACATCTGAGGACTCAACACAATGAAGACCATACAACACTGTCGCACCTTTCGTAAGCTTGGTATCATTATGCTTTTTGTTTTTTATTGCTTTGTTTTGTTTTGTTTTGCTTTTTTTGCAGTTTTGTTTTGTTTTGTTTTTTTCTCAGGAAAGTTGAATAATTTCTCTGAACTAAACTACAGAGGGAGATCTAAAAGTACTCTAAAAATATATCCTCATATATATGGAAACTCATTTCAAAGGCAATTCATACATTGATTTCGAAATTTCAAACGTTTTTATTAGTTTACTTTTTTGTGTAACTTTGCGATCTCTATTACTACGGATAGCCCAAATCAAAATTCAGAGTCAAACGATGGACATCATCAGAACGCTCTAGGGAAAAAAGCCTCCTAAAACTTTTTATGTTGTTCCACCGGAGCTTCGATTCGTACACCAGCAATATCCTCACGCAGTAACAAAGCAACTGCAGTCCAGCATGGACAATCAAGGGAGGCTTACTTCGGAGTTACATTGAGAGAGCAACACGGCAGATGATTCGTAGAAGGATATATTTTAAATGACTCCGATTGCAAACCAACGGCGAATTTATACGCATGCAAAGTTTTTCATTTGACTCGAGGAAGTAGAATATATAGTGCCTTTTTTCTTGAGACTTTCCTTTTTAAATGGAAATTACTTTTGTGGATCGGGGACATTTAGCAGAGTTGGTGTACAGCAAAACCCAAAAATGTTTATGCCATTCGGCATAGCAATATTTCTCTGTCTGCGAAATCGCCCTCTCATTGCAACCTTAATTGCGTATACCGCGTTTTACAAGATGCGCAGCAGAATTACGATTTTTCTTTGCTTTGCCTGCACACGTTGCATTGCCACTTGATGCATTGATAAAAGCTGTCACCTTTTTCTGAAAAATGAAAGAGGGGAAAGAAACCGATGAGAAAAAAAAAAACAAAATTCCGGCGTAAAGCGCGGGAAAATTATGATTGACTTTAGTTTTGCATTTGATTAGTTGAGAGGATAACGCGAGCTTTGTAGAAAAATACAACGTAGCCAAGTAAGCCAAAACCAAAGCAATCTCGTTTAACCGTATCAAATTTTTTAAGGTGATATTGCTCTTTCTGAGAACTCTAACATAATTGATGTAGATGGCTTTCAAGGCATGCTTCCCAATTAACTATGACAACATCAAAAAATGATGAAGGAACTGACTGAGTCAAGGAATTAGCTCTTATTCTGAAATAAGTCATATCATTTGCTTGAAAAGTATTTTATGAGATGTAAATTTGTTTTCCTAGTCGTTGATTGGCTTTGTTACCTCTTCTATTTGTTTTGACACCCATCATAAACGAAATTTCTCTGTTACATCGTTCACACCGAACGCATTCATTTTCCACGTTAAAGAGCTGGTGTCCTTCATTTCCATGGGTGCAGACACAATCATGGCGAACTACATAACAACTCGAATCTGATTCTGTGGTCGAACTGTTATCTAAAGTCAGTTGTTCGTCATAATTATTTTCGAATGTTACTTGGTCTTTAGCTGTAGCCAGTGCCTGTTTGATGGTTCTGTACCTTTCAACTAGTTCCAACACTTCCTTTTGAAGGCTGCTGTGGACATCAAGCAATGTCATCCCCTCCCCGTTTATTTGAAATTCGTCCCATGTCATGTTTGCCATAGAAGAGGAACATCTTTCCCTCGGCCAAGCATCGAACAGTGCCCTCGTGTCTTCCAATTCTCTTCTTACTGTTTTAATGACACGGAGACAGATCATCGTAACATGCTCTTCATACACAACAAGACGTTCTTGTTTGAGGCTTAGGTTTAAACATCGCTGATCAGCTACGACCTTCGCATTTTGTAGTCGTTCTAAACGAGAATTCAGTAGAAATGTCTGGTGTCGAGTGCTTTGTTTCTGCTCATCTAAATGTATCTGAAGCAGACTGTATTCCTGACTCAAACTCTCTAACTCTGTCTGCTGTTTCCTCAGGAAACTTTTTATATCATTGTTTTCACGGAATAACCCGTTTACTTGAGACTGAAGGGCGTTGTTTTCTCTCGTCAGCGCCTCTTTTTCTTCTTGTAAGTTTCTAACGTTTTCCAGCCATTTTACTTCCCCAGTTTCCGGAGCCTCGACATCAACTGGAGCCGACTTGAAAAAACTGTCTATCAAACGTGGAAGTTTTCTTTTAGATGTTTTTCGTTGCTTGTCACCTGCATTTGTATTGTCTTTGCTTTTATGGGTATAGTGTCTGTGTGTATTTTCGTCATCTGATGACTGTTCCTGATGGACTGATTCTTGTTCCGTGAATTTCATTTCATGTTTTTCGCTTTTGTGAGCTACTTTCTCATTCAGATTTTTCCCATTATTTTCTTTGTCAGCACTCTCAGATACAATAACATAGTTATCTTGGTTACCTTTGTCACTTTTAGGTGTTTCATTTGATCTCTTGTCTCTAACTAGTGATGTACTCTGTATTCCTCTTTTCCATATTCTCAGGGAGAAAGATTTAAAAGAGTTTTCTGTCGACTCCTCTTCCTCCGTCAAGTCAACAGGAATAGATTTTTTCTCGGATTTCCGACTCGCTTCTTCAACTGTTGCTGTCAAGTTTCCAACCGCGGCCATCAACAGGATGATGAAATCGAGCAAGTGTGTGCAAATTTTTCGGCCTTGACAGCAAGCATCTTTTTCTCGGCTTAACATTTCCCGGCAATTATGCCGAGCAAAGTGATTATCATTTTCTTGTGCTTTAAATGTTTCTGTTCTGGTACCATTTTGCGACAAGCTGTCATTAGTGAATTGAACTGAGATCTTGGATATCAAGTCGCACAGTGCATTTTCACCCTTAGGGAAAAATTTCTCGGCGAACTTAGCTGCGACTTCAGAAGCGTCTTCGGGATAAGCGAGAAATGTACGCAGAATGTTGGACACTTTAACAATATCTGTACACTTAAGTTCGTTGTTGTCAGTTGTAGCCAATGAGTTCGTCTCCATGCCAAACAAATATTATGTCCTCCACCTGTTATCCTCAGTCGGTGGATTTTAAGCGTTCTTGAGCTGATTCAGTTTGTACCTATCTTTCGCCGGTGATATTTTCAAATGGGCCTGACGCAACTTTTACCTCAAACTCTTAGTTCGTGTTTTTTTTATCATCTTTATCACCATAAACCAAGCATTGCTTCAAAATGTCTCCCGAAAGCATAATATTATGTTCGCCATAAAAACAACAGAAACACGCCGTTCAGAGGTCCTCTCCGTTAAATTATTCACGGTTGCCCGACGCTTCACATAGCGAGGAACAACGGTGTGTATTTTGGACTCGACAGTCTGCGGCTTCAAACTAAATCTAAAACACAATACAAGCACAATACAGCACGTGAGCAAAGCAGGTTGTCACACGTACATATTCCATAAGCCTGTCAAGTTGCCAACGAAACGAAGAACCCTGTATGAAAGACTCCACTTGAATGAAGTAGATGCGTAACGTTTTTAAGTTTTAAAGGCTTCGGATGCATTATACATCGAATAGACTGGACGAAACGAAATTTAGCGTTCGAGTTGTCTATAGTATTTCTATTAAACCGATGCCTTTATAACAGGTGAATCCTAATTGATATTTTTACCGTTTAAAAATGACAAACGTATCGAAATTTAGCTTACTTTTCCCTGGCTTATTTCAAATCGAAACAGTGATGAAAAAGTGTTTTTATGTGTCGTATTTTGCCCCTTTAGACTTCTCCCAATTGTCTATTAGTTTTACGCGAGTCCAAACTAACCAGGGCATTAAATCGCCTCGCGCGCTCGTTAAAGGATAATGCAAATAGTACTAAAGTAAACACTAAAGGTTTTCAAATAACTAATGGATTTAATTTACTATTTTCAGAAGAGTCTAGTGAGGACTGTTTTTATTACCGAAGATATGTATTTTATGGGAAAAATTCTTTGAAATCAAGATTAAGCGTAACGTGAGTCATGTTGAACTGCAGCTGTGATTCTGAAAAAATAGTAAAATAAACAATTGTGTTTCGTGACCTTGTGATGAGAACTCCCCATTAGCTCTCTCTTCCGTAAAAAGACTTCGCTGAGACTCAAAACACTGCGGTAGTAACATTTATATCGCTAGGACATACTCATCAAGATAGTGCAGTAATGGTTTTTGGTGAGGAAAAGGGCTAACGACGAAGGGCTAACGCTCGAAACGTCAGCTTTTGTAATCGTTACGGAGGCCAATTTACCATTTCAACTTTGTTGATATATCCAAATTATTATGTATATGAACTGGGGGAGGGGGGGGGATATTTCAAAGTTTTTCATTCCCTTCCTCCGATAGAATATGATCATCGGTCCCCTTTAAATGAGAGTTGAAACTAATCATTCCTTTATTGGTTTAGCAAACTCTTATTACACTTTTACACATTCATATTCAAGAATTAGACCAATCGGTATTTTGCACGCGCTTTTCTCGCACATAAGGCAGTTTGGTTTTTTCTTCTATAGAGCACTTTCTTATGGCTCCTTGTGACATTTTGTTCTCTCTGATTGTGAGTACTTTTGTTCTTTACGACTCTCTGTGGAAATGCCTCGTTCTTACTCAAAAGACGTCGGAGATCTGGGACCTTGGGAACCATCCTGCTGGAAACGAGACTGTAAACAAATTTATTGTAACGACTGCGGGTCAGGGACAGAGGAGAGATGCCTTTTTTCAAAAGAAGCAACAAACCTCCCAAAAGAAGACTTGATGCAGGGAATACAAGTCTAAGCAAGTCGAATTTAAGCCTTGCCGGAACTGGCGAGCTTAGCGAATCAGTCAATAATGCTCTCGTAAAATTAAAACTGGGACGACACGAGTTGAGTTTTCAAGATGGCGAATGGATTGCAGGTAAGTTATGAAAAAAGTTGTTCCTTTGAAGTTTTGTGGCGAGATAACGCCAAGAAGAAACTCTCAACAACCTTTTAATGCTTTATTTTCCTATTGGATTAACCCTCAAATGATTCAGCATCGTGGTTTACCGTGATAGAAAAAAAACTATAATTGTAAGTGAAGAAATGAACTTCCACTGAGTCCCAAATACTTGTATTTGAAATTGCCTTAGTGTAGAAAAGAACGGTTAGCTGCTCTGTATTTCAACATTTTTTTTTAATAAGATGCTCTTTTCGCCTTAGAAAATGTTGAGATTATTCATTTCTTGATTGTCATCGATCATCAACAATAATCTCATTATAATTTGAACGCCAGCTTTGGCTCACAAAAATCAACTTTAGGTCGTAAATTGTGTTACCCTTTTTAAGTCTTCACTTTGTTTAGAGCCAGGATCACAAAGTAGTTCTAAAGATGGAGCAGAAGTTAACAGATTACAGATGGAGAATTCACAGCTTAAGGAGGAGAATAACTACCTGAAATACAAGATTGAAGTCTTATTAGACATGGTGAGTAAAATACTGCTACATGAGTGTGTTAGGGTTAGGGTTGGATGGTTAAGGAAACATGTTGTGTATTTGAATAAATCTTCCCGTTTTTTACCAGATTTTACACAATTTTCAATTACATTCCAATTTTTTATGATCAATTTTTTTTCTTTTTTTTTTTTAATGAAGGTCTTGAGGGAATTCCCTCTCCTCCCTCCTGTTTGCCTTTTGTAAGTTATGCTTACATATGCACATGAGTAAGGGGAAGTTTGAAAGAAACAGGCCTCTAGAGTATCATCATATGACTTATTCTGGGAAAAAAAACAGACAAACTGTTGAAACTTTTCAGTCATAATGTGTAAACACAGTTAAAACATTGTGCATGGTCGGTTAGTTTCCAAAAAAAAAAAACTACAGGATGATTGGCTTCAGCCAGATTTCCCAAACTGTCACCTCCACTTAGTAACACCATTTATAGTTCCTTTTTTATTTAATTTGCAGATGGCAGCCAGCAATGCTGACTTGAATGTAATGGAGAAAGAACTTGACACTTTGCAAAGTCAGAAACAAGGCCGCAGAGTTGCAAAGTAGCAATTGTAAATGCTGCTAACTTTTATTCATCAGAGTATTTAATTAGTAAATTAATACACCAAATTTAGGTTTTCTTCTAGTAATAGCTACAGGGGAACAAAGTTGAGTTAGACTTGATGTATTTATATTAGTATTTGAAAATAAATATATTGTATTAGATGTTTTGGTGTGCCATATTGCCAAGTATTTTTACAAGTTGTGCTGTATTTTGAGGAGCCTGTAGGGTGAGTCAAAATATAAATAAGTAAAAAATTATACTCAGCAATACGACACACCAAACTGTCTAATAAGTTATTCATTATCCAATATGCCAAATTGTTTTTTCAGTGCAGGCAAATTTTGCAGATATTTACTTATGGGAATTTGATATTTCTATTTGCTGTTTCCATTTTATTCAATAAGCATTGAAATTTCATTGTCATCTAACTGATTTTCTTTGTTCAATTTATCTAATAAACTTGGATCAATGTCCGCCAGCTATTTCAACTCTTTGTTGTCAGAAAAATAATTAAAACTGTCCTTTTTTTTATAACTTTAATCCAGTTTGTCACTTGCACAATGTGAGAAAAGCTGTCTAACCAGTTCTCTGGAGTACAAATACCATGTGATATTTGTACTACTCTTGGGTGTTATTTGTACTCTACAGAGTGTTGTTGGATAATAAAGGTCAGTTACTGTTCCTCCAGCATTTGCATCAACAAGTATTTTAATTTTCAGTCCTTCACACCTAAGGTCAAAGTACCAGTGGGACATGCCATCATTAACATCAAATTTCTCTGAAAAGCTAAGTAGAGATAGATGGTTGATTGGATTGGGTATGGCTAAATTGAATTGGTAAATTTATCTTAAAAGCACTGAAAAGATGTTTTGTAGCTTATCGTTTCATTACAGGTCTATTCTGGTTGAAGCACCCCCAACTTTTTTTTTTTAATGTTTCAAGAGATCTCTTTAGTTTTGGTTTTCCTTCTGTTTTTGTTATCTACTTCTTTTATTTAACATTGTGATGCACAATTTTGATCTGACACAATAGAAACAAACGATGTCTCCAGGGTCTGCGGCAGGAGGATTTCATATAAGAATTAATTCAGTTGAAAGGCCTGCCTGTACCTGCCCTGCTACCCACTGGAGTGAAAACCTTTGAAATCAAAGTTAGACTACTGACTCTTAAATAGCTTACTTTGCAGACTGTGCTACAGTGAGATAAAAAAGTGAGAGCACATATGAAGCTCAAGACTACTTAAATTGGCATTCTCTTGAAAAGGCAATACACATTAGTAGTTTGCTTATGGTAACCTGTTCCACCTCATAATTGGGCTACTTACAGTCATTAGGTGTTCTCGGTTGTAGCCCAAAGCTGTTGAATCTTTAGTCTGATCAAGTCAAGAACTTGTAATCAATTAATAGTGTTAAGGGCATTCTCATTGATGAAATACAGCTTAACAATTACTTTATTCAATGCCATGTATTAATATTGCTTTGCTATTATTCTAAATGCACTGACAGAGGCTTTTCTTATGAACTTATTGTTGTCATTCTAATCATTTCAACTATGTTCAAAAGAAATTGTTATCAATAAAATACAGTACACTTTTGTGGTACTGACAGAGTAAAATTATCATGGCAAAATTACTTTTTATCAATAACTCTTGATCATTTAATGATTGCAAAATGTTTTTTTTTCACACTCCAAATTTTCAGTTTGCATAAATATTTTTTTTGTTTTGCAAAATTTGGCCTCTGAAGGTCTATAGAAACCTTAAGGTGGCTGAACACAGTTTTTGCATGTGCTTTTGCTGATGCAATTCAGCGCACACACAAGGATTGCAAAAAACAACCTTTCCATCAACAGAGCGGTCATTTCATTTACTCAACACGTACCTGCACTATCTATGCTATTTTTCTCAATAGTTGGTACAGTGTATAGAGGGCTTTAATCTTTTATCACAAAGATATGTTAGAAAAATTAATGGTGCAAAGAACCCAGCAATTCTCAGCTTTTTCGCTGTTACCAAAAGAAACCAGTTAAATGCAGCACGTGCATAGTAAGTCAAAAAATTGCAAATGAATGGAAAATTACTTTCTCGGAAATATGCCTATTTCTTGGGAACCACTCTGTAGAATTTCACGAAATTTGGCACAAAAATACCTTAGGAAATAAGTAACAGGAGTATTGAAAAAAATTGATTTTAAACAAAGGAAATTCTAGAAAATCGAGTGAACCTTTAACAAGGGATAATCAAAGATCTCTGTTAAATTGTTAGCAAATTGGTGTTAACTTGTGAGTATCGTTACATGCTCGCTACATGCAAATTATAAAGAAAATCTAATGACTAGATTTTGTACAAAGAAACAAAACCGATTTTAATTGTCTATTTTTATCTATTCATGTCACCATGGCAATGGCACATACGTCAGCTTAACTATCGAAAAAACAAAGTTTGTGTTGTTAACTTGCTTGCTGCCAATTTTGGCGACCGAGAGATCAAGGGTTTTAGAGAAAATGGTGAAAGAAACAAAGGTATCAAAAATTGCATTCAGCCACTTTAAGTTATGACTTCATCTCATTCATGGAGGTTAGAGAGAAAGAAAGAAAGGGAGAAAATGAGGAGATCTTTGAGAATCTTTGTTTATTCATCTGTTTTAACCTCAGGCAGTGTTATAAATAAAGAAACATGTAAACAAGCACTTGCAATCATTCAAGGCCTATGATGACTTGCTATTCAGTCTATTCTGTGCTTCTGATGTATTTCATTGAAATTTTTGTGAATTTGTGTAATTTTGACCAAATTTCATGACATATTTAAAGCAAGAATTCAAATTGTTTAAGGTATATTTACAACTGAAGATGTCATAGGAATATCGAAACATATTTTGAAAACTAAGAAAATGTTCTGTTCACGAGAATTGTTACCACTCTGTTCATTTTCTGACTGAAAAACATATTTGTTAAGTCCACATTCCTGACTGTTTTTACATTTATTTAAAACCAGTGTAAGAGTTGTCTTCTTTTGTCCCAGTGATAGATTTGAGAAAAGGAAAAAGCCCAGTAAAAAATGATTTAAAAATTTAAAGTAAACTTACTTCATTGACTCAGTAGCAATACTGACATCTCTTGTGTAAAAAAAAAAGGAACAAATTAATATATTTCTGGTCTTCGTCAATGCACATGTACCATTTTAAATGAAAGACAAAACTGTAGTGAGACTTCAACAATTGTGGAGGGAAAACATTCTAGAAGGCAAAAAAAGGAAAATAACACCTACAGATGTACCTAGTAATTGCAAACTGTGTTTAAATAGTGTAAGGCATTTCTTGCAGCTTCCTCATGTGCAGCTTGTTTTTTATGGCCCATTCCACCACATACTGTTGGTGGTTCTGTATTAAGCCTCACAAAGCACATATAATTGCCACTGTATCCTTTTTCTGGCAGGTCATGATAGGTTACAGTAAAGCCTGATGTTTTTCCTTTGTCTTCAAGAGCTGAACAAAACTTGTCACTGACACTATTCACTGCATCAACCTCAGGAGGTGGAGTACTACCACCATGGGCCACCTTGTTAAAACATGGTTCCTCAATTTCCATTTTACTGTACAAATGGCTTGAAAGAAATGAAACTGGTGAATTAGACTGGCTACTTCTTGAGGGACTTGACCCTGATGGAGAGCTCACTGTAGGCTGCATGCCAGGATTCCTTAAAGGACTTGATGACACATTTGTGTCCACACCAGCTAAGGATAAACTCTAAGGGAAAAATATTACAATTACTATAATTTGAATCACCTGCATTTATAATCGGGTAGGTTGACATTAGCTATGGCCAAAATATTGTGAATGACTGAGCGTTTTCAATGGAAACTAAATAAAAGAAAAAATTGGTTTCCAATAGTGAATTTTTCAAGTTTCAGTTGTATACAATGCAGGAATACATACATCAAAATACCTCACTCAGTTTCTTAAATTATATCGAATGCACAGAACTCGATATGTTGAAGTAACCCTTTAAATTCTGCACCACCTTGGAAGAAATTACTTTGCACCTGCACTAAATTATCATTAATGAGCTGCTTTCAAAATTAAGTGCAGATGAGACACTTTGATTGGTTGTTGGTGGAAGTCTGAACCTGATCAAGGTTAATTACAAACCCCCAATCCAGGAAAAAAGTGACACAAGCACTAAATATTCACTCTATGTTCTGATCACTTTGAATTATAAAACCCAAACCCATGAGCTGATTTTTCCAACTGACAAACTGGCTAAGGATTAATATTTTTGCATAGAATAGCGTGTTGTGCCTTAAAAATATTTTCTTCTTACTAGAATTTGACAATTGTGTACTCCTACTAATCTTCTGTCTTCCTTCCAATTTACGTGATTGCATTTACCTTATTTGCCTCACTGATTACGGTCCACATATTCTCTGCAGCAAGTTTTTTGGCTACTTTTTTGTTTCTTCCATGTCCTTGAGAAATCAAATCTCTAATCTGAAAATAATCAAAGATTTATTAATATGTTTGAGCTGTGCACAGGCCACCCCAGAAAAAGAAAGCATTTCTGTGTGCACAACATTGCTTTTGTAACAATAAATGGATACACAGGACCATTTAATGAAAAATGAACTGATAAATTCTGATGGTGAGGCAGTAATTAAGGGACACCAAAGTGGAATTAGAGCTTGTAAGAATTATTTCTTCAACCTCACTGTGGTAGAACACCTTATGACACACTTCAAAGATTTGATGTAATCAAAAAAACTCACAGTTGTATGAGATTCATAATGATAACGCAGTACAAGCTATTGTCAAAATCTTCATCTGGATTGAATGCCCTCTCAGGTTATCAAACTCAGATGGACTTGATAGACTAGACTAAGCTGCACCAAATGGCTGGAAATCGGTGCTTTCAACATTTGAATTTTTCTTTCAATTCCTGAAAATTATCCATCCAATAAATTATTCAAAGTAAAGACATCAGGACCTTGCATTCAAAAGTGAAGGTCTTTGTGTGTGGTTCTCCCTCTTCCTGTATCAGGTTATAGGTTGGTGGAGTCCAGTTGTTCTTCATACACATTTCCTGCAGGCTGCCGATGGGATTTGAGTCTGTACTTGCCGAGTACGGCCTCCCAGCTGGACTTAATGGAGATGTTGGAGTGGTATTTTCAAGTGATGTTTGGCTTGGAGATCCCTGGAAAGAATCAGTTAACAATTGAAAGCAGTTGTGGAATGAATGATTGCCAATTCGCAACTGAACCAACATGCACCCATAAAAATAAATCTAGCACATTTCAGATGCAAAGAAAAAACCCAGCCAAAATAAAGAAAAATAAAGAAAAATAAAGCAATAAATAAAATAAATACAGTTGATTTGCAAAATTCAAAAGCATGGAAATGATCACCCAGGAGACCGACATTTGCTACTTTTGTAACAATTCATGTTCCAGTGAAAGGGTTATTTTCCCTCTATTTGAAGGGTCAAATTGGTTTAATTAAAAACCGAAAAAGAAAGCATAGTGGATTCTCTATTTGTTAACTATAGCGGGAATTGCAAGTCTGAATTTAATTTGCGCCAAGTGAAAAAACATTGTTTTGTTTGCTGTTATTCCAAATTACCCATGTTCTCACCTTAGACGCTTCGGGTGAGGTTGTAGTTGCACTAGTTTTGTTTCTAATAAGTTCCAGAGCTGCCTCCGCACATTTCGCTTTAGCCTGTTTTTTGCTGTATCCTGACCCTGTGCGTTTTATCGCACGTTCGGATCCAACTTTGACCTCACAAGTAAACACACGCGTATTAGTTAGTCCCATGGCCAAATCATCCTTGTAATTGAAGGTCACAGGTTGTCCAACTTGAGCTCCTGCCTCCATCAACAAACTTACAGGATTCTTCGCTCTGTTTTCAGGGGACGAAATGATGTCGCTCATCTCTCGCAATCTGATGTCCTCCATGTTGCAAGTAGCCTGAGTTCGACTGACCCCTAGGTATAAAATGTTTGTGCGTTTTTAATGTTCAATCCCGCCGTGCGCACTATAAACCTAATAGATGCAAATATATGACAGAGAGTGATAAATTTGTTTTCTCGGAAAATCTGATTCCGCGAAAGCGACTTCCCTCCATCTTGAAATTGGACCCGGAGAAGCTGGGCACTGGAGCACACCGGCGAAGCAGAGTATGGTGGGATACGTTCTTCCATGTTCTTGTGCTGAAAGCGCTCAACAGGCAAAATGTCGATGCTTTCGGCGGCTGCGTTGTTAGATGAATTGATGGGGGTCGATAGAGATCGGGCCCCCAATGAGAAAAAGACTGCCTTACATTGGTCTGATCCTCAGGTAAGTGTTGGTTACTTTTATAGTAGTTTATTGAAGAATATCTCTGTTGTTTCGTTCGTCGATAAAAACTAACATTGATAGCAAGCCTGTTTCTTTTTCTTTTCAGGTTTGCAAATACTTCCTTTGTGGATTTTGTCCTTCCCAGCTCTTCGTTAATACCAGATCTGATTTGGGTTAGTAATTTAAAACCGTTTCTAAATTTTTGGTAAAAATCGAGTCTATCAATTTTCTTGTAAACCGGCCGCATGGTCTTAAGTCAGTAGTGTTTCAATTATGAGGTGTTGGGAGAGTACGCAATCAATCGAATGGCAATGATGGCAATAAAAGAATTTAACGGAAATTTCCAATGGTATTTTACACTCAATAAGGGTAGTACTAGTATGAAAAACGTTGCTTCTTCACTTTATGTCGTTATTTTGAATTGGTCGAACATGTTAAATGCAAAATAAGTGAAACTTTGAAAATGAGAACTGTGTTATATGATGGGAAAAGATCTGAAGGTGATTTGAACCATCATGGATAAAAAATGTAAGTAGTTTTTGCGCAAGCTGATTTGCAGTTCCCATTGGGTTTTGCTTCAAGTCAAGGTAGAGTTTGGTGTAAAACTATCCTTAGTGTGGAAAGGGTCATGACAATGTCAAAACTGTGCCACGCAGGAGTAATTTGCGTTTGAAAATGACACAATTCACTCTCAACGATGAATTGCTTTTGACCAATGTTATGCTCCATTCACTACAACGAGACAGTATTAATTCTAAAATTTTTAACCAAACACTGGTCAACAAATGGCTGAAGTGAACTGTAACCCATCTATGACATTGAGACCTCTTAAAGTCTCTCTTGAGAGATCAAAGACTGCAGATGGATCTCTTGTTAAGAAAAAGTTTGGTAGAGACCATTATAATTTCCCCTGTATCTCAAGGAAGTCCTCTGCAAACGGCTAACTAACTTGTTAATTTTTTTTCTTAGGACCATGTGAAAAGGTACATGATGACCGGTTGAGGAAAGAGTAAGTGGTAGCAATTTATCTCATTTACACATACTTTTCCATTAATGTTGAGTTTGTCTTTCTATAAAATCCTAGGGTAAGGGAAAATGCTAATAACAATTTACCAAATTGAAGATGGCTAGTGGGCTGTAGAGCAGTGAAATAATTTAGTGAAATGATAGTGAAATAAACAGCACAAAAATTATGGCACAAAAGGATGATTTTAGATCATTTGTTCCTGTTATAAAAAAAGTAGTTTTGGGCACAAATCCTATGTGTGTTGCCCGGAGGGGAATAGTAACGGATATTCACAGTTAGAGTACCCAATCAGAGTGCACCTTCAATGCTATCCTCTGTTTAAGTATGCAGTAAAGTAAGATATTCATACCAAAGGGCTCCATAATACCAAAACGCAGGAAGTTTATGAGCTGAAATATTTGAAAGTGATGGAAAATTGGCACTTCAGGTATTAATAAGGAGTTGGTGTTCTCTGGTAAGAATGTTCTTAAGTTAGTTCTTGGATGAGATGCTGCTTTATTTGTTCAAAGTTTCTGTAAAATGGCACTGCTCCCCAGGGCAGACCTTCCCTATACAGTCACTCATAGATTAGTGTAGAATGTATAGGTTTGCTAATTTAATTTTTTTTGCCGTTGTAACCTAAGTGCTTGTACCAGTGTGCTGTTTGGGTTAATTGAACAAATACATAATTTTATTCTCTTGAAAACTTTCAGTAATGCAACTGGAACCATTTAATGCATAACCCATTTAACAAATTAAACTAAAAAGTTAAGGCATCGCCTATTGTTTTGAATGTTCTTAGAATGATATACTTTCAGAGAAAATCTACGGTAACTTCTATAATTTACATCTTTCTGAAAATGCACTTAGGTATCAAGAAAGTGGTCGTTTCAAAAAAATGAGATATGAAGAGGAATTTCTGAGGTATCTTCAAAACATTATGGCAGATGTCGACAGACGAATCAGGCGAGGACATACCAGATTGAACCTCAGTCGGGCACAGGAAGAGAAGGTGAAAATATAGAGAAGGTGAAAGTAAACGCGATGCTGGTAACTGTTGCTTTGAGGTTTGGTAAATAGTACCTTCTCCACCTCAAATCACTGCTTACACAACAAAAAAAACTACGTTTTGCTGTTTGCTTGGAAGCAAAATTAAATAAGCATCACAGGCGCTAAACCAAATCATTAAAGTATTGCAGAGTTTGTTGAATTGGATGCATCATAGTTTGGCAGTTGATTTTTTTGTCTTATTTTGTTTATTGTTGATTTTTTTTTGTCTTATTTTATTTATTGTTATTTTATTTTATTTTATTGTTTAGTGTGCAGTTTTTATAAATGGAGGCCTTTGATTGTTGCATCACTCTTTTGGTTTGCGTACAGTTTTTTTGTAAAATGGCTCTGGTTTATTGTGCGTGAACCCTCCAGCTACTAAATGGGACAGAATGTCTAATATATTTTGTTTCTCTTACAGGAATTGGCAAGTGGCAAGCCAGACAGTGAAAAAATCAAAATGCTTACTGAGAAGATTAATGCCTTGCTAGAACAGGTGAGAGAATATGTTCACATCTTTGAAGACTTTGGCACTCTTGGCCTATATGCTGTGGTCACATATTGTAAGGCTACAAATTTTATAGCATGCTTTTCCTCTTTGTATCAGCTAAATTAGGTGTTTGCTTTACCTTCTTCATTCCCAAGGAAATAGTGTAATAAGGTTATCTAACTCTCCTATTGGATTTTAGTCTTTTACTGATAAAAAAGGGGTCAATGTATCAATCAGTTTGAAAGAGTTCTTTTTTCGGTCAACATTTATTTTTCACCAGAAGTTTTCTAAGCCTACTTCATCAAATGTTGTGTTATAGTTTTGAAGAATGAGGGTAGCTGAACAAATATAAAGAGTTGTAAAGTACACTGTATTGTTAATCTAGTAGTTGCATGTACAGCTGTTTTTTTTTTTTTACCCTGATTTTAACTTCCTCTTTGTCAGATTGCAGTCTATTTGAATTGTTTCTTGTCAATTCAATGTGTGCAGGTTGAACAACTAGGGTGTGAAGGAAAGGTGGAAGAAGCGCAAGGTGTGATGAAATTGTGTGACCAGCTAAAGAATGAACGTGAGGCTCTCCAAATGGTAAGAAACAAATATTACAAATGTTATGGTTTGAGCCCAAGATTACCTAAGACCACTTTCCCCACCAATGAAATAATTTTTTTGTGTCCAAGCCTGCTGTGAATCAAGAAATTCTCTGTTTGAGAAGGTTTTAAAATTCTTTCATGAGCCTGCAAGTAGTTGAATGGTTCTTTGTAATCAAGTTATTTGTCAGGTTCATTTTCATCTTTATCACTGCTTTAAGGCAAGCAAGGGCTTCGCAGTGTGACAATTTCAGTACCTGAGCAGCTGAGCCGGCCTACCCCTCTCCTCCCCTAACCCAACAACAATCAACTGATAACAAGTTAGGGTTAAGGTTGGGCTAGGGGAGGGGTGGGTACACAATTGCTTAGACACTGACGTGGATCCACAACATTCGTGATGATTTTGGTGGCCTGCTTCTGGAAAGAGAGAGAGAAGGATTAATTGATCATTTAGAGTTACATTCATTTTTCATTAAGAGTTAACCTCTGAGCTATTCTGACTGGTTATGTGAAGACTGGTTATTTTTGCTTTGTTCTACAGCAATCACGTGACCTGAACTTAATGTCTGCCCAGGAAAAGCAAATGGAAGTGTGTGAAGTTTGTGGTGCCTTTCTCATCATTGGTGATGCACAAACTCGAGTTGATGATCACTTACAGGGAAAGCAGCATATGGGTTATGCTAAGATAAAAAGTACCATTGAGGAACTCAAGGTGAATTGCAGCAATATTCACACTGTGTCCTACTAATGCTTCAAATAATGATACCACCCAGCTTTTGATCTTAGTTCTAAAACGTTCTTCATTCCTTTTTCCTATGAGTGATATATTGCTTCCAATCAACATTTAGGTTGTTCTGACTGAAATTTAAAAATAAATGTGAAAAAATGTCAGTACTGTACTTCAGTTTCATCTCAACGTAGAGCGGGAAAAAAGTGTCTCAAGTAAAGGGATGTCTAAACAAAGTTTCCACAAATTTGCACGGCTTGCTGTAGATGTACAATTCGTTGCCTCACATTTTAATCGATTTCTCTTACTTTTCTATTTTATTCTTTTAGAATAAAAGGAACGAAAGATCCCGGTCTAAATCCAAAGAGATAGTGGAAAAAGATGAAGGTTCTGAAAGAAAGCGGGAAAGGGATCGAGAACGGAGCCGTGACAGAGATCGTGACGGGAGAAAGGACCGTGACAGAGACCGTGATAGGGATCGTGACGCAAGAGATCGTGAAAGGGATCGTGACCGAGATCGTGAAAGGGATCGTGACCGGGATCGTGACCGAAGAAGAGACCGTGATCGTGACAGAGACCGTGAACGTGACAGAGACCGTGATCGTGACAGAGACCGTGACCGCGATAGGGATCGTGACAGGGACAGGGATCGTGGCAAGGACCGTGAACGTAGAAAGGACCGTGATCGTGAAAGAGATCGTAGCAGGGAGCGTGATCGAGATCGTGATCGTGATCGTAACAGAGACCGTCATCGCGATAAAGAGCGTGATATTGAAAAGGACCGAGATCGTGACAGGGATCGTGAGCGATCAAAGGAAAATGAGAAGCGCCGTGGTGAGAAAGATGAAACAAAAGAAGGTGATGGAGAAAAACTCGGGGAAAAGCAGAACGAAAATGGAGAAGATGAGAAAGAAGCCGCGGTCGAGAAGATGGAAGAATCCGAAGAAGGTTATGACAACCAGGAGAGAGATAAGTCCGTCAGATCTCGAAGCAGGTGAGTGGTGTCTTTTAGGAGTGACAATAGATGAGAGAATTATGCAGAGATGGCAAAGTTTTAACAAAGTTAAGCCGATTCCTAATTAGTTTTTAATAATGAGAAGGGTAGACGTTGTTATTTTGGGTGCGAACGTACAACGAGCTGCCTACCGATTAAACACCCTGTAAATTGGATCAAGAACTGAAGGCTACTGCCAAAGCAAAGCTACCTCAGCTCAGCAGAACGGAACAACAAAGATTGAGGTACCTCATTCTGTTGTGATTTTCAATTTTAAAATTTCCTCAATTCATTGCTTGTGCTAAAGTCATGACAGAAGCTATCATCTGGGCTTGAAGATAACTGGAAAGACAAGGTACACACTCAAAGTTTGAATTCAATTTTTGATTTTTTATTAATAATGGTTTTCAACCAAGGTGATCGACCGAGGATCCGCATGTAAGGTAACTTTCGTGTTTGCTTTTGGAGTGAAATTGTCGTTCCTATTCGTTTTTTTTTTCTTTTGCTGAAATGAAGTCAAACGTCTCAATACTAAGAATCGCTCTCAAAAAGGAATCGATGTCGCTGCTCGAACCGAGTGGCAAAAAGTTTAATCACTTGTTGAAGAGAGTCGAACGTCACGATCTTAAAAGTAAACTTTTCCTTTGAATGTAAAAAAAAAAACCTTTTAAAAAATGAAAAGTGAGACCTTGGGAAATTAAAGAATTCGCCACAGCAACGGAATTGAAAGTAGCAGCTGTTGTCAGACGTCAGTTTACCGTATTGAACCAACTTACGTTTCCAGTGAAGCACTCAAAGGATATCAATCTCTACCGGCGGATCAGCCAATCACTCAGTCGACATCTTGTAAGAGGTATTCTCCCAGGTATTTTAGATCATCATGTGTTTTGCGTAAGACCCACAAACGCATATTTTCAGCCAGCCGCCGAGGAATGGTCTTCCTCATACGCACGACGTTCTTATCGACTTCAGAGTGTACATTAACTTGTAAATTATCATTAGACGTGATTGATACGTTAATGTGGTCCCGAAGGGTCAATCTTGTGTTTACGTAGTTGTAGAAAGACAAGATGTAGCCTTTTAATTTCTATTTCTCGGTAAATTGCCTCTGAGGATTACAACTTAGTGAAACCTGTGTGGTTTGTGTTCTTGACTTTTCTCACTTGATTTAATAGCTACAAGTGGTTGCTTATTTATTTGCTTGATTGAGCTCTGGTATCCAATCAGTGAGGCTTTATTTTTCTTCCACGTTTACATTGTTTGAGGATTTTTTGTTTAGTTTTTTGAAAATGTCTTTAAGGATTGATATTCTCTGTTCATGTCCCTGTTGGATATTTGGATATTTCTTGATTTCTTGCATTGACTTCTTTGGGCAATGAAGCGAGTTGAAGAAAGAGACGATGAACTCTAAGTATCAGGCAAAATCCGCATTGTTTTTTCTCAGCTGGTGATTATGGGTCACTTCTTGTTCAGGGATCAGTTCGTTAAAGTCTGGCTCAGGCCTGGATAGTCTGATAATCTGTTGCCTCAGCCTAAATTGTTTCATGTAATTTACAGGTCACGTGAGAAAGAAGAACGCCACAACAAGACTGGGTCCTCCCCAAAGAGCAGGTCTCGATCCAGGTCCCCTTAGTAGTGTGCAAGTCAAATCACCCTGCAGACCAGAAAAGTGATGGAAAGCTAGCCCTTTTTTTACTGAAAAGTTGTCATTTCTTGTAGGTTAGTTTACCAAATAAGATGAAAACATGTTTAATTTTAGGGGTCGGTTTTACGTTTAGTCACTATGAATTCGTTGATGGAAGCTTCAGGAAATTTATAGTGTTGCCAACCCGTAGTGAAGAATACAACCATAATTCCAAGAGAGCCTGTTACATCTGTTTGTCACCCAAGGATTTCACCGCAAACGATCCTTCAACTTTCTCTGAGCGATGTCCTTTCCAGACACCCCCAAAAAGAAAGAAAGGTTTTGAACCAAGTTTTCTCTCTAAGTTTACTTATTGTTGGACAGACGTCTTGAATTTTGTGGAAGAGTGGAGTTCCGCAGTGGCCACAGAATTCAAGATGGCGGGTTCATGATGACATGTAGATAGAACAACTTGATCGCCGTCTTTAGTATCTCATGTAGTTTAGTGCTAGCTACGACCTTCACGCACTCGGTGTAAATCAGAAGGCATCCAGATAAGTTTTTTTCCTTCCGTAGATGGTAGAATCTTACAATAAGATAGTACACTTTTGTATTTAGGTTGAATAAAGCGTTTTCTTTGGTGAAAAGTTTGAAACTTTTCTTACGAGTCTCAAAATCGTAGCATTGAATATTGAATTTTTTTTTTGTGGAGAGCCAGGTTCGAGCATGAAGCATCATACTGAATCCGTATTTTAGTTTCTCTTCGTTTTTAATTTGATAAGAGCTCCAGCAAGATGTATTTCCAGTGTTAGCAGTGAAGAATGTCGATTTAATGAATGAAACTTTATCCTCTTAACATATTTTCTCTTCCGCTCAAAAGTCTTTTTTTGTCGTATGCCGTACTTTCATGGTACTTGATGTTGCTAATCCAAAAGCGTCGGAGTTTTACTCACCTAAAACAAAACAGCGTCAGCTTATTTGTTGGAGGACCATATTGCATTTATGATGCAGAATACATTTTACGTGCACGTCCAATGATCTTCATCGTTTCATAACATTTTTTTTTGCGATTTGGCGTTATCAACTCTTAAATATTTCGTCGTTGTTTTAGTTGTTAATTGTTTGTTATTGAGTGGCAAAAATAAATATACAGCTAAGGAAACGTTTTGTGGGCCGGGAAAAGTGGCCATTGGAACAACTCAGCAGAGAAGCAGAAGCTCACAAAACCGTTACGTTTCACATAACCATTAGAATGTCTTCATTATATTTACAGGCGATTATCACCAATATCAAAAACAAATGAAGTAAGTAACATTTTGGCCTTTGGACGAAAACAAATCACAGGATGATCCTTGATGGGGAACTTCAATTAAAGAAATAGCTGGAAAAGAACTTCATAAAGTCAGGCCTCAGAAAATCTGACCTGAGCTTCAGTAAATCTTACTTAACTCACAGATTTGTATTGCTTCCTGTATTTGGTGGTGATTGAGTTAGTTGCAGGTTTCTTCAAGGTTCCAATTTGAACCTGATGCGATCCAATCAAACTAGTAGTTGTCTAGTTGATTAGTATCAGTTGTGGCTGAGAAGTCATCTATTTTGCGAAGAGATGGTTCTCAGTTGCATGGTCTCTACAGACTGCAAACTACTAGTTTAGAAGTCGTTTATGAGCAACAGTATTATATATTGGAAGTAACAGATATTGGTGTCAATTCAAGTTAAAAATAATTGGAAGATATGGATCGGTTATATAAACAAAGTTTACACAAGATTTCTCAACGATGCAAATTCCTTATTGACTACCGTTCAGCTATGAGAACTGAAACTTCTTGGCTTTTACTTACTATAGCCCATAGTTCGACGGATTCTATACACGGCCCTACTTCAGCCATTTCAGAACTAGGCAAGGACTTATATTGTAAATGGAGTTTTGGAGTCACAAGGCGAACATGCAAAACTTCAGCCTTATAGAAACTATTTCAGGGCTTCGAATGTGTGAGCACACAATCTGGGATTAAAAAGAAATAAGAGAACTGTATTTTGCCCTTGGTAGTTTTCGTAACGGTTATACCAACATTCCAAATTCCAATTCGATTTGGAAACAGTGGACAAGAAGAGCTACCCAGTGGAATGTCCATTGCTAAATTATTTATTTATTTATTTACTAGCGTTCTACAAGATAAATGAATATCCCTCGACCTAAATAAAGTATTTTTAATCGATTTATGAAAAGTGTTTTTTCGTGTTTCATGTATGTGTTGTTCGTGTGAGTTCAACCCGAAAGAGAAACCATAGTTTGCCCTTGGTATTTTCATTAGTGTGTATAGCGTTCTACAAGACTTGTATTTATTCGGTAAAACTGTAACAGTTGGTTGTCTCGCCAAATATTTAGCACGTGTCTGCGAGTTCACTGAAGTGTAAAACTGTAGCAAGAGTCTTTTAGCTACGTGTACGAGGTTACCGGAACTAAGTCACATGACGGTGTGTGCGTTGTAAGTGAAGGAGCAGTACATAAAACAAGTTTTATTTTTAAATGGTAGAAAAATTTCCTGACGGCGAATTCAAGGGACGAGGTCCACACATATGAAGGAAATGAATAATTTTACTAGATAGATGAGGTCACAATTCTTTGTTGATGTTCCTGGTGTGCTTCCGAGTTGGGTTGACTCCACTGCTGACAAAAAAGAAAGTGGCCGCAACAGGCTAAACTACAGTATCAGCGCCACCCTTTATTCAGTGGCAATCAGTCGCCGCCCCTCTTTCCCCACCGTGCCATTTTTGTCTTTTATTCTCTAAGACTATACATAAATGCCCAAGGATACTAACCTTAAGAAAAAGTCGTTCCTCTAACTGATTCCCGCCAGTTCAACACTTGCCTAAGTCATAACTTTCAGTCAAGTTTATTAATTATTCAATTTGAACCGACATACATTATCTCTCCAAAGCACAGCAATTGTAGCTGCTGACTTGTAGAATCACTGCTGTCAATTGAGAGCGATTGACCAGTAAGCAAAAAAATGTAAGCTCCGTGCGAAACCAGAGCTGATTTCAACTGTGTTGTCAGACAGATTAAAACTTATCCTGACTGACCAGCCAAAGTGTTGGTGGTCCTTTTTCCTGATCCATTGTGAGATTTTATCCAGGTGGCTACTCTGGACTACAGACTTAAGAGAATTCAGGTAAAGCATATTGAGGTATTGCTTACAAAGTTTTATTTAGGACTAGGCACGAGGTGGAATGAAAAAGGCCGAGCAACACAAGCAGAGTCTGGGTACTGACCTTGAGTCAAGATGGCGTCGGCAGGACTCATATTTTCTTGCAGTTCCAGAAAATTACATGTAAGTGAATGTAATTACGTAAATACGACAAAGTTGATGAGATGAAACCTGGAGAAATGAAAAGCTTGTTTACAAAATACTTCCCTCCCGTCGGTCCTGAACGATTCTCCGCCCTTTAATAGCGGGAGACGTTCCCATAGAAGTATGTATATATACTTACAGGCTAGTTATAGCAGTAGCGTTAAAACTCTCGGTTAAACAAAAACAAGGCAACACTTATTCATGTTCTCTTGGATATGAAGACTTTGGGCTTGGAGCTCATCTGCAAATAGCGAATGCTCGTACTGTACCAAAGAAAGCGAGTCGTAACAAATAGAAGGGCGATAGAGTCAAGCGATCGAGCTCTGAGTTTTCAGTTGATGAATCTATGCCCTGTATGTGTAGTCTTGGCCTTCAAGCAAGCCCCTTCCCGGGAAAGCTCGTCTGAAGGCGTGTACTGACTTTGTTATCAATACGCAAGCGTAACAAACATCAACTTGAAGATTGGGTAAATCTGTGTCATTGATGAAACTTATGAGAACCTTTAAATCAGAACTCCGGCAGTGCTTCATCTGGCCGGAACTTATCAAATATCAGCCCGATCATTCCATAGTGTCATAGTTTTTTTGATCATTCCAAGTGTTATTTCCGTTTGTTTTTCACCAAGAAAGAACACTGTTTGTGAGCCAGTTAGTTTTACCAAAAGACGATCATTGATGGGTGTACTGTCTCTCAGAAAAAAGCCATCGTTCTCATGACCATGACACAACTGAATGATTTTGTGAATAATACGTTGTTTTAGTCAACCACGCTGTGGTTGATCCTCTCTTTGACGATCATCACAGTTTCCAGTGGAGGGTGCTTGACATTTACATCTCCATGTTCATTTAAAATTTCGAAAAAATATCAGAACACCAGCGTTCAGTAGCATTTAGGGCAGACACGTATTTCAGCCATGAGATCACTATCTCCACCTGCGGTCATGCACTCATGTGTCAGTTGGTTACTCGCGTACGTGGAATAATTAATTTCTTCATGCGCTGCTGATGTTAATTTGGAGTGTTGTTGCACAGTTCAAGATGACTTCCGAAAGCGAGGTCGCAAGCACGCACATTTGATGCCTGAAGGTCTTTCATCAGCAAACAGATTAATCAATATTTTGTCGATTGAAGCAAATTTGCTGCTTGATCATCCAGTTTAGATCAGGTTTTTGGCTGTGTGAAAAGAACATTCACGCCCGCGTGACATATAGAGACAAAGCATTGAGGCAACGACACCTCAAAAGGCAATGCGCGGTGTTTCTCACGAACTAATGATGGGTAGGTAGCTCTTAAGATTATTTTTTCACCGTTTTTTTGACTCCATGGTTCAAAGAAGCTATTGAGATCGAGGGTTTGAAACTTGTGAAGATCTGTTGTGAAGACAAAATCTTCCCGTCACGTCAGAACACCGAAATTGCGTTCGTTGCAAATCTATTTGTTTGAATCACGCGTGGCTCTTGGAGCTGGCCTTCGAAAATCGCGACTTTTCTTATCAAATAGAAAACACTTAAAAGCTTACAATAAGGGCACAACTGTTCTTCTTTCCGGCTGTGAACAGTTTTAATTTCTTAGAAACAATATTCCTTTTATTTTTATGGGTGAAATCATGTCATGTGTCGCAGACGATTTCTTCCACATCGCGTTCAACCACAAGAAAGACATTTTGTGTGATCTTGTTTGCTTTTAAGCCGAATAAAAAGAATTACCTCAAGATTGTTCATATTTTGTATGTCTTCTTTCTAATAAAGTTTGCAGGAACTGTGAATCGACGAAAACTTAGGAAGATGACTTTTGTGTCACAATTTTCTTTAGCTCTGAATATTGAGAGCGAAACTTGACAGGGTTATTTTTGCTTTTATTTACCGACAAGTCAAAAAATCGCAGTGTTTGACGTATGTATTTTGTTTATTTGCAATTTGACACTTGCTAAACGTGTGAAGGTCGATGGTGCAAGACTTCTATTGTTTCGAAGAAGTTTTAGTTTTCAATTTTTAAGTTCTAATTACTTCGCATCGCCTCAATTCTCGACTTTTTTTCCTCAGATAAAGTTAGCCGTTATAACCCGTTAGATCTTGTAAATAATCATTCGCATTTCGAACTGAAATGGAAGAAGGCACCTCTTGTGGTTGAGGACGAGAGAGGCATATGTTTTGAAGCAATACGTGATCAAGGAAGGGGAAAGAGGTATCATGAAGCTTCCTGCAACATTCAGGTACTAATATTGCTTATATTTTGGTAATATTCTCTCGTATTTTACGAGTTTATTGTGCTTTGCACTTGATAATTTCAAAACAATATGTAGTTAGACGGTTTAAGTTTAATTTCTTCGAAGTGTCGCAATCCTTTGGTGGGCGATCGACGGACTTCATGCTCTTTAGCTATCCAGGTCATCACACTGACAATCGAAATTCAATCACGTTTTTGGGCTGTAAACACGTTTACACCCAGACGGTCAATCTGTGTATTGTGCATGAGATTGTACATTCATGCATAAATTTGCAAATATTTTGCTCTCGATTGCTCAGTAACACATCCGTCAGCTTTTTCAACACAAGCATTGGTCCACATACATGATAGTTTTTGGTTCTCTTTTAAACGTTGGAATGCTGTCGAAAGGTCACCAACATGAAAGGTCACAGCTCTGCATGTTTTCAGCGTATTAAAAGGTTGATGTTATCCGTGAAACTGTCGCCTTGTTATTCCCTCCACCCTTTGTTCTACTCACTTCAACACCTTTGTTGTGATCTTAGCTCGTGCTTCGTTTCAAGTTTAGTTTGCGATGAGATTTCATTGTCGCTTGAATTAATAAAGAACTTTATGCATTTGACTTCACTGCTCAAAATTTAATTACCAAGAGAGCTTCATAAGAAATCATTCATTTAAATGTATAAGGAATTAGACTTTTTGAGGGCCGTCTCTACTACTTAAACACTTCCATCATGATAATTATTCAACGAGAAAATTGAAAATCAAATCATAGTGTTCCAAAAACAATTTACTTTCTGAGATCTTTAAAAATATCAAGTATCCGTTACCGGAAATCGTAATAGAAATTGTTATGTAAAAGTGCTCACTAAAATAGAGATTTTTTTTAAAGAAATTATTAGCTTTTGATGGTTAAAAGCATACAGTTTCTAATCTACATATCAGAGGGTGATTTCACATTTCACTGTCTCCAGAGATGATGCTGACATTACATCACACAAAATTAGAAATGATGTTAGGAAGAAGTGGTTCAGCAGTGATGCTATGCAGTAGAATGTGGTATGAAATGAACAACAGATTCCTCTGTGGAAAATGAGAACCTACTAAAATTGTGCCTTCTGACATCTGGCTGTGACATGTGGCATGTGGCTATGTGACATGTGACATGTGACATGTGGCTATTTGATAGTAAGTCACCCTCGGTGTAAAAACCTGGCGAGGTTTTCTTTGTTTCATGAGGTATTGTTTTGCTGTATGCTATTGTTTATAATGTTTTGTGTCTTTGTTTTACATCACTCATGAGCTTCATAGGTTTTTACACCGAGGATGAACCCTGATAGTTGCATGACCCTACTTTGGTCTAAGAGTAGCAAAAGAAAAAGAGGCTGTGTAACTGGTGGCAAATATCAGGGACAGAAGAGGCCCTATAAGCTCACTTGAGAAATCTGAAATTTTTGATTTTATTGGGCTTGAATTCTTATGCAGCAGTATTATTTGAAGTATTCAAATGACTTGCATACAATTGCATAATCACTGGGAATATTGTACTTTAGAATATCGAGCCTAACGTATACAAATTCAAACTCAATTTATGTTAATTTCAAACCTTTCCAGCTGTGAAAAAAAAAATAAAGAGTTTGAAACTTTCGAGTTCCAACAACAGTAGGTTTACTACAACAACTTCTCTGCTAAAAATTCATACAATTTGTTGCATGATACTACAATTTTTAGTTAAGTAAGGCACCAAAACTGTTTGGCAACCACATTTTGACATTAAAATTGTGTTGCTGTCATGGGCAACTGGCTCAGTTTGCAGTGTTAACAGAGGGGGACATTGATGTTTGCAGTATTGCGGTGAAGACAACTGGCATTACAGTGTTGCAGTGGTCTCAAACCTTACAGTGAATGGTGGTTTTAATTTCAAACCAAGGGTGTTTGGTGAAATAAACCATTTCCAGTGTTGCAGTTTTTAACCCCTTAAAAACAGTTGATTTTTGATATTCAAACAAACATCTGAGTTGCTGCTTGACTCCAGGCCCTATGGGTTTATATTTTACTTGACCTCTGGACCTCTACCACATGCACTATTGGCCAGTCAAAGACCAGCTAGCGCATTGTAAAGATGAGTGAAACAGGTAAATCCTCAGACTTTTTTACATCATGGTGTCAGTGTGTTGACAATTTCTCTTGTGGTGATGCGGTGTTTGTTCTATTTTGTTAGTGGTGTTGTGGTATTCAGAACCCTCCCCCCCCCCATGTCCCCCTCATAATGTGTTTCACTTCTTTTGAGTGGCTTTCATGTTTGATGGTTGGTGAAGCATTGGCTCATGAGATTTGGTTACTATTGGAAATGAGGAAGGTTGCCAGTGACAACACTGTTATTGAATTTAAAAACCTATTGTCACAAAACTTTCTGTGCACCACATAGGTTTTCATCCATTTTTCCTCCTGTTGGAAATACTGTCAAGTGTTACCACCTCAATTATTGGAACTTAACTGAAAATACTTTTTGGGATTTTTAGATTGACTAAACATCACCAGTGGTGTCTTAAAATCAACTTGGAAAGGGACTCTCTCATGAATGGAAAAACTTAAGCTCGATCCTTTCTTACAAGTCTTTTGTTTTTTTAATTTTATTTTTTCCTATCTTTTTCTTCTTCTCTTTTTGTTTCATTTTTTGAACTCTTCACAGAATTTTGTGCCATTTTGGTATTGTGTGTTATAGAGTATTTAGCCAACTGTGATGGGTGATTTTATACCCTCCCATTTTCAACTTCATTTTTTCATTCAGTCCTATAAATAGTTTCAAGTATCAAAATATTCAATTACTATTCCTAGTGCTGATTCTAGAATTGTTAAAATTGTGTAGAACTAGAATTTTTGCTTTAAAAGGACAACCTACTCATTTGCCATAAACACACAATAACATTAGTTATATGTTAGGGTGTCAGGCTGTCAGGGCGTCAGGCTGTCAAACATGGAAAAGCTGAAGAACTTTCAGAGATTGCAGATAATCTAAAACAAATTGTTTCATGGAAGACCAAGCAACCTCTAGAACTAGTGCAAGAAAAAGGCTCCTCTGTATGGCTCACAGTTCTTCCCCTTCAAGAACATGGTTTCAACCTCAACAAGAGAGAGTTTCGTGATGCTGTCAAATTATGCTATGATTGGCCGCTTGATGACATTCCATCAGTGTGTGCGTGTGGGGAAAACTTCACAGTAGACCACGCAATGATTTGCAAACGAGGAGGCTATGTTATCCAACGGTATAATGAGTTGAGAGACCTCGAGGCCAACCTTTTGAGTACATAGTGTGTACCGATGTTGAGGTCGAGCCAGTTCTCCAAGACATCACTGAAGAACAACTCAGCAGAGGGTCTAATAGAGTACAAGACGCAAGATTGGACATTCAGGCGCGTGGCTTCTGGGATCCCCAGAGCTCGGCATTCTTCGATGTGAGGGTTTGCCACCCTAATGCCGAGTCTTACAAGGACCAGGAACCACAGCAGATTTATCGCATCCATAAAAACAACAAGAAGCGGCTGTACTCAAGGAGAGTGTTGATGTTGAGCATGGCTCGTTCACACTGCTTGTATTTACTACTACAGGAGGGATGGCGATGGAGTGCATAAGATACCACAGCCGATTGGCTGAGCTGATAGCCGCCAAGGAAGGGGAACGATACTGGCAAACAATTTCCTGGATCCGAGCAAAGACATCCTTTGCCCTCCTTCGGTCGGCCTTAGTTTGCCTTCGAGGATCACGGGTGAAGCGCAGCTCTGCATTTGACTATAATAATTGTGACGTTGAAATCGCAGCTGCCGAGGGAGCCATTGACATTGTTTAATGCTTTTTAGCAGCCTTGTATATAGGGTTCTAGATTTGCCATTCACCTTTCTCTTTTCTGTATAGTTTTAGATATGCTTTTACTTATCAGATTATTAGACTTTGAATCTGTTCAGATTTGACTCCGTTATTTATAGTTTTCCAGACACTTTGACATTAAAAAAAAGGAGTAGATGTGAGCTGAAAGTGAGTTATTTTGGATCGTTTTTTACGCTGTTAATATTTTGTATTGTAGAGGATTTTATTGAAATTATTGCTAAATAAAGATTATTATTATTGTTGTATGTTAGTTACCCTTTTCTGTTTATTTTAGTTTTTTGTATAGTGTCATTAATTTTTGTTTTAATTTCTTACTAACAAGAATCACAGAATGTTAACCTACTCCAGTAATTTCACCCTACCACCACCATCAGCTGCAGCAGCAGTGGACAATACCAATGTGCCTGACAGCAGCAATTATTCTACTATCCTGGCGGCCATGATCCCGTTAGCAGCTGTGTGTTTTGTTGTGGGGATTGCCTTGCTATTGTATCGTTACTATAGGAGAACATCTGGACCAGTCTGGATTCCTAAGGTATTAATGAAATAAGTCATGTACTTGCAAATATATACCTTGAACAGATTATGTCACAGTTCCATGTAAATGTATCTATTAAAGGGCTAACTGGTATTACTGTGAAACTGAGAAAGCCATGGCACTAGAAATATTTATGGAAGGTCTTTGCATACAAGAAAAAAGCCACTAAGACACCAGAAAACTAACAAACGACAACATTGTTAGTTTGCAGTTTTTAAGTTTGCTTGAATGTATGTATGGGACTTGGTAATTATTGTAGTCTGCAGAGCAGGCATAATTTTGGTCAGTAAGTGCTCAGTATTTCTTGGGTAAAATTAGAGCTGCTATCTTCGATGTTTATAGCAATGGAGGGCTGGGGAGAGAAAGAAATTTTTACCAAGGTTGTGAGTGACAGTCAGAATGAAGGAGAAGGGTAGGAGTGGGACATTGGAAGTTTTTTGTCCTTGCCTTTCCTCACCCCCTCCCTCCACAGTCCACTCTAACCCTAAATAAAACATGGCAAGTTGATTAGAAGATTGCTAGCTTGTAGCATTAACTTGTTGTAATAATAAGCCTGCACCGCAGGCTGTTGTTATCGGTCACCACACATTAATAGCTTGTTAGAGTCTCCACAAATTTCTCTCAGTTTGTCGAGTTTCACGGTGAATCTTTCCTTTGATTTTTTTTCTTAGCCTGGTGATTTCAATAGCTTGATTTGTTTTCATGTCCAAATTAGTTGTTAATCATGTGATCATATGAAGATGAAAAGGTGGTTTATAAAGATTATCTCAAAATGTTACACCATATTATTAAAAAACACACTGTGTGCAATCAATCTATCATATGGCATATTATTCCCAATTTTGTTCTTAGAAAATCGGAAACAACACAAAGAATTATAAAGAAACTCCTTTGAAGATCTTGGTCAAGTTAAAACGATTTAAACTTGGTTGTTATGGAAACTTTACGTCACACTATAAATAATTTTCAGTCTTTCAAAGGTTCAGTCTGTTTGGCAACTTTGATCTTCCTTGCTGTTCAGGGAGGATCAAAGTAAAAGGGCTAAAAACTTTCAAATTGGAATTTCGATTTGCTCTGCGCCATGTTTAACATGTAGTTGAAATGTGCGATTTTTACGAAACTTTTTGATACACGATAAAAATGTTGAGCGCCAATTTTATGTTCGTCAGAGTAATCTTCGTGAAATATGTTAGTGTGCAAAATTAACTACCTCATCGTGTCTCGTAGGATAGGTTTGTAGTACCTTGAAATGTTAGATGTTTGAAGTGCTGAAAGAAAAGTAAACAAAGATCTGGTCACTTTTTATCTTCACCTCTGGTGACACAATTTGCATTTGTATCAAGCTATTTTTTTGGTCTCTCATTACACCGTGTTCGTAGTCTTGGTTTCGTTAGCAGTATGATCTGAGATCTTATCTCCAACTCTGAAATCCAAGACCCGGATTGGTTTTACTTTGTACTTTTGTCGAGTGCGGGAAAATCTGGGGCTTAATTTGAACTCGGAAAGAAGCCACAATACCTTTTGATTGAAGAAGAACTGTCATCAAGGATGATATCTCTCTGTTCCCAAGGCTGCTTTACAGTTTTGTCGAGGGTTTAGTTATTATAGAATTGGGAAAAAGACACACTTTTCTTCAATGACGCTTGACTTTGGAATGAGAAAGAAAATTTTCAGCACCGGAAACAGATCACGTAATGTGTACGGTATGTTTGAGTTTCATTTTGAATCAATTCAATCAAATCAATTTAAAAATGTCTCTTGTCTTTTCACGTGAAGCAATTTTAGCCTCTCTTGAGACTTAGTATGTTCGTTACAGTTTTTACGGTAAAGATTTTTTAAAACAGACTTGGTTAGTTAAGGAAACGAGCTATCTTTTCACGCGATGAAAAAGAATACATCAGCGATGAAGGACAGTTTCTCGTGAAAATAAATGAGTAAAATGTATTGTGATTTCTGTCAATGTGTTTTCTAATTTATTTGAAGATGTCGCACCGAAGATTGTCGATTACTGCTACTGAAATAATGAAAGTACACATTTAAAGTAATGGTTTCTTTACAGCTGTGAGGGATAAGTGTTTTTTTTTGGAAGCAATTGTTGAAAGGTTTTGGATGATTGAAGGTAAATTCAAAGCGATTATCAGCAGTCGCAGCTTGAGAAGTTGTACTCGCTCAAAGGCAAATTGTACCATCTAATTAAGAAAGAATGACACTTTATTGTAATGCCGCAGAACACAATTTGTAGATTTACATAATTTCGACTCACAGAAATTTCTGTAATCTGTGTAGAAGCTGTTGCTCTTGCATCAGTGTAGACAACAACAGCAACAAAAAACTCTTTTAGCCGTACACATGAAATTAAAAATAATATTTTGGTGATGAAAAGTTCGCAAAGTCGAAGAATATGACACCTTCTCTATAGGTAGACAGGGAGAATTCAGATTCGGTATGGTGAGTAAATATAAGAGACATCACTTTTTCTTCTTTTTGTGTTAACCTATTTTAATTGAAAACTTGTACGTATTTGGCGTTTTCAGTTTATAGTGTCATTCTCAGCGCAGATTTAATTCACTTATCCTCTTTTTCCTACCATTTAGAATGATCACTTATCGGTAGGAATCCTTGTAGTTCCAAAAACTGTTGCATGCGTGCCTAAACAGTAAAGCTTAATTTTTATGATTTTTTTCAGCTCGCCTCTGTACGCGGTCGATACCGCACTATGAGTAATGAAGACCAAGCCAGTCCAGATAATTTTATAATGGGATTCTGTAACCCGATCACAGAGAACTCAGTGGATTGTTTTGACAAGGCTGACGGTAAAGTTACTGTGTTGGGTTACAGGCCACTCCGTGAGGACACTTACAAACATGGCGTGAAAGGTAAAGTTGTATGTTGTGTTTCTATTCGGAACTTCGAATATGGAAGGACGGTGTTATAAACTGATATTTTCATTGACGTGTTTTAAGATGGAGAGTCCTCGTTAAAAGAAAACAAAGACAACACAGAAAAAAACAACTAACATACCCTCTCTGATAGCAGTTTCTTGTTTGTGTGGAATTATCGGTGTTTGAACATGTTCTGACCAATTCTTAGAGCGATTGCTTGGATTTTTATACTTGATTCGCTTTTTTTGCAGTGCGATGTTGGAAATAATTGCTCTAATGATAGCTCGGATTTTCGTACTTAATTCGCTTTTTTGCAGTGCGATGTTGGAAATGATTGCTGTAACGAGCGAAAAATTAGCAAAACACGTGTAGTTGAATTTATGGATTTTCTTGCTCTTCTTCCTAAGGGGTGCTTTTCTTTTCCGATCTGATTAATTTTTTTGTTTTATGGTGCCTGTTACCAACTAGTCCAAGCCAAATACCCTCGTTCAGTCAACGGAAACCGCAACAAAATTCAAGATTCAATGTTGTAGATAATTAGGTGTTTTGATCGGTCCAAACGCGCCTCTCATCACTTTTACTCATTTTTTCGTCAGTGCGCGCGCCTCTTGGTTTGCTCGTGCATTACCTTTCCCGTCATCAATAGACACATTAGTGCATTTTCAATGATTTGTTCGCGTTTCATTTTTTTCAGATTATAGCCAGCTCTTTAAGCACATGTTCCCGCGGGATCGTTTGGTTAACGGCACTGATCTCGGGACCGGGTGGTTTGGAAAGGTGAGTCTAAAAGCAAACGAAAAAGAATCAAGAACAAACCAGATTTTATAGGTGACCTAAAAAAAGTTGGTTTATCACAATATCGTATGGTTGGTGTGATGCGCACGTCTTTCCAGACACTTTTAAAAACATAGGTAACAAAAACAGGATCTACAATAACTGTGGTCTCACCGTTTAGAACCGAAATAAATGAACATTATTTGAATTAAGACAGGGGAACCCTCGGGTCATTAAAGAGTCGTTATTCCTTTACAGTGTTCTACAGTTGTGAATTCATCAATTTCATCTTTTAATCCCTCAAATAACCCTTGACCTGTGTAATTAGCCACGTTACAATTGAAATAACAAATTCCCTTTTTCCTCGTAAGGTTTACGAAGCAGACGCTCTTCGCATTAAAACAGGATTGAGAAGAACCAAAGTCGTGGTGAAAGTAAGCTATTTTGAACTGCTTCTTTAATGCTATCTGTCTTCATATTTTGTTGTTGGTAGAACTTGAATAAAAAATTGAGGTTTTCAACTGTTTCGTACTGGATCTTTCTTCTTTAGGAACTGCGCAAAAATTTTGACTCAAAGGCGAAGGAAATGTTCCTAAAGGAAACGGATGTTTTAAGGTTAGTGCAGAATGGTTGTCTAGAATTGATTTTCGTAAGACCATGACGATACTAACCGCCTGTTTAACCTTCAACAAGTTTTTTATTTCTCTCGTTCTCCATAATGCTGCAAAACAGCAGATGTTTCCTCATTTAGTTTTAAAGAGCTCGAAATTTTGACGGAGAGTTGATCTTTTTTGTCATAGGTTTACGGGGTTGGAAAGTTAAAACAACGTACCATTTAATACCCTCAAACTAAACTCGTTATTACCTACCTTTACTTAACATCGCGTGACTAGATATGTTAGTTATTTACAGTCTTAAGAGTAAATTCTCGTTTCATTTTTTTCCAACCAAACAGGTGCGTTGAGCACAAGAACGTTTTGAGTGTTTTAGGACAGTCAACAGAACAGGAACCGTTTCTAGTGGTTTTGGAACATTCTCCTTTGGTAAGATTAATATCAGTGTTGTAGACCTCCTAAAATGCTTTTAGAAATGTTTCTTTTGTTAAGTACACACAGTATCTCTTTTGTTGTATAACAGGGAGACTTGAAGAAATTTCTCCTGGAACAACGGTCCGACAGGAAGCGGGAAGGTGTTCCACTGCATCTGCGCATGTCTATTGATATCGCTTCCGGGCTCCATTGCTTACATGCAAATCATTATTATCACAGGTGTGTGAGTTTTTTATGTGGATAATAACGTCTTAGTTCACATAGAGGTCAAATCCGCTGGAACGAAAAGATTGTAGATGGTGAAACGATTCTTGATCAAGTCCAACCACATTGCTTCAGTAGTGAACTTGCATAAGGTACCAGGCTTACACCCCTTACCGTCAAGCGTAAAAAATTCCGGGTTTTGCGGCCAAGTGGTTTTTTGGTTTCGATGCAGCAAGTTAGTGCGGTATGAGACGACTGGAATGTCTAGCAGGAACCAATTTTTGCGATTTTCTTTGCAACCAGTATACTATTTACAATGAAAAAACGTATTATATTCTTTTTACTGAAGAATACGAATGGACACCTTATTCGCATGCGGATTCTTTCTATAACATTGAATTTTGCGCTAGTTATTTTGCGGGAAAATTATCACTAATGATTGTATGATGTGCCATTTTGTTTTAGTGACCTTGCTGCGCGAAACTGCTTGGTATTTCCAGATTTGTCTGTGAAAATCGGAGACTACGGAATTTCAAGATGCATATACAAGGTGAGATAGGATCATCCGGTATAAGGAGTCTTTATCGAAGGGAGGCACAGGTTATAAGCTCGTGGGAAGCCTGATTTTTTTTTCAACTTTTAATTTCTGCAAGTTGATAGCATTTATGACGATCATTTACACATTTAAGGTTGTAAATGAAGGCCCTCTTTAGTACCTCTATTGTTTTAGTTTGTGCCCAAACGCAAATGCGCTTTTCTTGTTCTCTTAAAAACGAGTCGCCTTGAAATGTGTGGGATATTTAACGTTATGAGTTTAAATTTTTAAAAGTAATTTTAAGCGGTGCCCGTAGTGTTTTAGTACTGAACGAGAGAATTGAAAAGCGTCGTTTATATTTGATTTTAGAATGACTACTATAACAGACCGCAAGCTCCCAACAGCATCCCCGTTAGATGGCTAGCACCTGAGTGTGTAGTCTTTCATGAAGATGGAACTTTAGTGACTAAACCACCATCAAGTCAGGGAAATGTTTGGTGAGTTGCGGTGTAGATTGTTTGCACTCGATTGGCTGTGCATTCAGAGTTTTTCTGGAACTCATTGAACATGATTCGGCCAACCAAGGGATAGATGCGACCATTTGTATTCTCAACCAATGGATAACAGACTCGGGAGACACGTGACTTAAGGTCAATAATATCCTCCCCCTCCCCTACTTGGTTTGGTGATGTTGTAGCAAGCGCTTGTAGAAGTTTAGTTGAGGTGGACCGCTGTGCTGTTGTGCCGTGCACCATGGCCATCAGGTATGGTAATGGCTACCCTAGTACTTTTATTTTGGTCGGTGTCAAACAAATAGAAAAGATTCGGAGGTTTAGCGGATTAGTGGTCTTAAAGCATTTACGTGGATAAAGAAGATGGTCTTAAATCTGATGAAAAGTGCGAGTTTGATATTTGTTGATTTTGCAGGTCATTTGGAGTAACACTTTGGGAAATTGTGGGAGGTGGTAAGCAACCATATGAAGACTTACCAGATGAAGAAGTGTTACAGAGTGTGATACAGGATCAGCTGTATAAGTTACCTGAACCGCACAACAAAGGAAATGTTCTGGACCTACTGTAAGTGCACACTGCTTATCTTGAACAACATTTGTGTAAAGCTCTGCACTCAGATAATCATGTGTAACACTTTAAAGCAATTAGTTAAACACCGATTGGTTTGAGTTACGTTAGACATAAAAGGTCATTGGCCAGGCTCAGAACCTTATCTTAATCGCTATTAATTGTCTCAAATGATCATGTATGTAAACCTAACACTGGCGGCGACCTACAATGGAGGTTAAAAGTACTAAAATCGAATTCTTCCCCCGTTCTCTCCCCCCGAACAAGGTTGAATTTTACGCACGTCGTGAACTTTTCCATGACGTAATGACTGTTTAGTTTTACCAACATTGTTAATTGGGGGCTGGTGGGGGGGGGGGGGGGAGTTGGGTAGGTTGAATTGGAGGCTCTGTGTACACATTTCAGTTGGTAAAAAGTCAATCACTCTCCCAAGGAGACCTAGATAGATGGGTCTCAAAGTGGTTTCATATTTAAATGTCTTCTATATCAGGGAGGTAGATTATAACTAGCAAGTCGTAGTAACTCTTTCCTTTTAATGGGATCTGTAAATTCGTATTATCTGTGAAGTGATGAACGACAGAATATCTTCCGACCACATCGAGTATTTACAAATTATTAGTTTCAAAGTTATTTGTGATTGCGACGTAAAATGTTTTGTAGCCCTTGACCTTGTATTGCGTGGATAACTATGTGACGGTGGCATAGGGCTGAGGTAAAGTCTCCAATTAATAATAGGCTTCACGTCCAGCCCTCTACTTCTGTTACTAATCTTCCTTTCGCGCAAAATGGAGATTGAAAATGTTGCTTTTAAACGTGTGTGATCCTTACCTTGATGTATGGAAATTGAGCAGCGTCACAGTTTTCACGGGTAGCCATTTAAAGTCCTGGGTTTGCTCAGACCTCATCCACATCCCATTTGACAGTGTGCCCTGAACGGCATCCTTTTTTGCAGTTATGAGCTGATGCTTCAGTGCTGGGTAGAACCTGACGGAAGACCTTCGGTTCAAAAACTCGAGTCTACGTTGATGTCTCTGATGTCAGGTTGCTCTGTACCCTGTCTTACGACCACTGTTACCGTGAAACAACGAACGGAACTTCTCGCGAGTCAAGGTTTGTTTGGCTGTATTCGAGACTTACTTGAGCAGAGAGGATATTTTCAATAAAAGAAAAACATTGCACAATTCTCCTTCGTAAATACTGATGGCAGTAATTACGTAAATAACCTTGTGAACTCGGTCGTTGCTTAACTAAGTTTGAAGTTCGTTTTAGCAAACTACGTCAAACATCCAGCTGGGCCTCTAAGGGTGACAGCATTCAATTTCTCCTTGCAGCATCACTGCTGAAACAAGCGTAATGGTTATGACAATAAAGGAAATGATCATCAACTAAAAAAACTCTTGATTTTTAAACAAATTGTCTGTGACAGCACTTTGGAAAATGTATAGAGAATAACATGGAGAATATGTATACTCATATCAGGCGGTAAAGGGTTACTCCTTTTTGACTTGTGTCTACAGTTGCTAAGCTGATGAATTACGGTCGTTGAAAGCAGTTAAACTTTTTCTGTTTGAAGCATTGTTGGTTAATACCATCATTTTCACCGTAACTTTTAGCTGCTCCGGATACTAAGAGTACATCACAACCGATTGCCGTGGTTCGTCCTCTTCGCCTCGAACAAGATGAGCCACAGTGTAATCATACTCAAGTCCATCAGAGCAACTCTAACGACCAAGAACAGACTCCATCCGATGTAGAAGTTACCATTATTTCTTCGGAACCCCCACCGCCAGTTACATACATCGGAAATCCCTTGGAGGAACTCAGGGAATGTTCCGAAACAGCGGAAAGTCCATCATCGGAGGAGGCGGCTATGGACTCTCAAACGTCCGTGATCGTACATCCGGAGGATCACGAGTATGTGATGGTGCCTGGTGAAGTCATCCGTAGAAGAGGATCAATTTTGAAGAATCCGAACGCCCCTGTGAGTTATTTGATCATTCTTGCATTCTTTGAGAGCAGAGAGAAATTAAAGCAGAGTTGGTTGTGAATCGGTATTCCCTCCTCTAGAACTGCTTATATATGTTGCCTAAAATCCACCAGCTAACGGGAAATAACTTTTGGACGAGTTCTGTTTTTTTGTTAGCAGGGGCGTTGAAATGTGTTGAGTAAAAGGTTGGTTTTTGTCTCATTTGTATGTACTTTCAATGAAATTCCTATCTGGCCCCTCTCATGAATAACTTATTGAAAATTCATTTGTGCCTTTTGCTATACTCACCAAACAATCCCAACGATGATTGAAAAGAATACTAACACATCTCATATACTTTTCTTTCTTTATTTTCGTTCCAGTCAAAGCCCCCCAAGGTGGTTCATTTTCCAGTCAACATTCTCGCCCTGCGAACCGTTCACAAGTATGAAAGGATGGACTCCTTTGAAGAGGATGAAGCAGACGCTAATCCTAGAACAGATGACGAAGACGGAGAAGAGTCTGTAGGAAACAAATCTGAATTTCGTGCAGAGAAAGACTTTGAAAGCCTTAATTCAGAATTAGCTGTAGTCAACGGGACAGATTTGGCCAACGAACCGCCATTATCGCCGACTGAAAAGAAGATTAGAATGGCTGCTGGGCGGAAGAAAATGCTCGAAGACGGCGATAAAGAGTGGGTTACTGCAGTGGAATCGAGTTCGAGCCAACCTGCTTAGGTTTGGAAGAAGTTTGACGGACGTCTGTTTGTGGAACGAGCAGCAAGGCAATCCTAACTGATGAACTGATGAATGGAGATGCCGGCAAAGTGCGACAAGCCCCAAACGGTCGGATATTGTAGTCAAGTGACTAACGTAGTTTCATAGGAGATTGATAGACCAAAACTAACATCCATCAAAAAAAAAAAAAAAAAAACCGTTTATAGATACGAGTGGCTCCTCGCTGAAACACTACAGTATGTTTTGTTTTAGAAAGGTTCGAAATCGGCCTTAAGTTAATTCTTTAGAAAGTTGATTATAGTCATCACATGTCATGAATTAGTGTTTTGGATACAAGGTTAAAGGTACCATTAGAATCCTGAATTTGGTACTTTCAACTCGAAAATAGAATTACAGTGCACGAGGAACAACAACAAAAACCCTTCCTAAAGGAAAGAATATTGCATGTCATATCGGCAATCCTCTTGCTATGGAAAGATTGAAAATATTTTTCTGGGCTTCTGAACTCGCCCGTTTAACTTCGATTTCAGCGGTATATTTTTGTATCTGCTTCAGAAATCGTTGACTTCCGTCATAATTTGATACGCATATAGTGCGTTAGCAATTGAAACTTCGATTTCGAACAAGTTGTTTTTCAAGCATTTGTCGAAAATGTGATAGCAATTGTGTTTATCGCATTACATTTGTAATGGAATATATTTTTAAATGAGTAATTATGATAATTTACAGAAAGGAAGAGAAGATTTATGTGCAAAATGTTACTAAAATAAAGGAAAAAGTTCTTAGTTCTTATTTTCTCCAGTGTTCTGTCTGGCGTAAGGATCAGTTTTATAAGTAAAGTAGCTTGATAATGTGTAAGAAACATTTTTCCATTCTAATTGGCAGAGAGAGACAGAGTTTTCAGGCAACACACTGTAGAACTGAGAAAGGTAATACGGAGCGCACATTAATTTCGTGTACTGACTGAACTTTTTTGGAGCGTTAAACTTAACAAAAAAAGAGAAAGAAAATTTATCCGTGGAGTGAACAATGTTGTTTTGACCGAACTCACAATGAAATTTACACGCTATCGTGATTCGTTGTATCTTATGTGATTTACGCGTTCTGCTTCTGCTTAATGATGAACAGCTGTCAAAATGTTTTCATTAACATCATTAATAAGTGGTCAATTGATTTTTCTCGTCCAATTTGGAATAAATGAGTACTCGTTAATTTTCTCAATGTGCACTTAGCCTGGGGGTCCTGCGGACACGATCAGTTTTCGCGGTCTTTGAAAAAATACCTCTGCTCTCGGAATTTTGTCAGCACCCGCACTAATGTTCTTATGTTTTGGAAAGGTTCCGTATGATGATTATTTGTCTAGAGAGAAAGGGGTAACGGGAATGGAAAAACAACTCTGTTTCCAGTAAACAATAGACCAGCTTCTCTGAGAACTGCAAATTTACTCCCTAAAACGAACCACCTTCAACTGAGAGGTTGACGTGTTAGTCTGTTGGCTTTGGAGTGCCGAAGTACTTTGGAAAGGGATAAAACTGGAATCAAAACGATGCAAAGGCGTATTTTTAAAGCATTCGGGCTTGTACACTTCGTTGTATGGAAAGGAACAGTACAGAAAGGAATACAGTTGGAAGGAACAGTGACAAGAAAATGTAACTACCAAGATGGCGGCAGGACGTGTGAAATTTCTAGTCGTCATCTCAGTATGGTCTCTCGCTCTTTCGTACCCTTTTGAGCTTGGTAAGCACTGCAACTTACACGTAAGAACAATCAAGGTGCCTTTTGATGGAAATAGTATTACGCCATGGATTAAAGGGAGTACTTTGTACCGAAATTGGTTGACGATGAGACGTTCTGGTAACTACTTGAAGTCGAGAGTGAATTATTACGGCAACTGCCGGCTCAGCTACTTTTAACTTAGAGCTACTTCGCCTCTGTGGTGATATATGCACTAATCCAAGGCCTCTGCCTACAAAAAAAATGTTCTGATTGTGACCGGGTTGTGGCCCGAAATCATCGAGCGACTCAGTGGTGTGATGGCTGCTCTTCGTGGACTCGGCAAATGTGGCGGCGTACTACCTAAAGAGTATCTGCACATGATGTCCACTAACAACAATTCGAGAACCTTTAGGTCGTGCTTGCAACTCTTACATCAGCTTCCTTTTGCGAATGCAAGTCTAAATTCTAGCGGCATTTCTAACGCCGAGTCAACCTCAGAGGAAAATGATAGTGACATCAGTTTCGAGACAGAGTTTGATAACATTGGTCGAAAGCACCGCGGAAACTTCAAGATCGGCCATGTTAATGCAAACAGTGTTCGTGGTTTCAAATTCTATGAAACAAAAACTTGGCTACTCAGATCTCTGGAATATTCGACGTTCTTGTTATTTCTGAAACCAAAGTTGTTGCAAGTTTCCCGGACAGTCAATTTCATATCGATGGCTATCGCTTATGTCGCAAAGATAGACAGGCTGGCGGCGGAGGGTTAATAATTTATGTTAGAAGTGATGTTTACTTTATGACAGTGAGACAGCGCGAAGGAATGGCCCTTGAAAATTTGCTCACCTTTAAAACAGAGTTTATGGCTCTCAAAATCAAACTAGAAAAGGGCTGGATAACAGTTGTTGGGTTTACAGACCTCCGTCTGTACCGAAATCTCGATGGATTAATGAACTCTCATCACTCTTTGAAGCAGTGGCGATGCTTTCAGATACTGTGTTTTACGCCGGGAATTTCAATGCGGATTTATTGGATCCAGACAAACCTCCAAAAGATAGTAGAAGCCTCTTAGACTTGTTGGATATCTTTTATCTTAACTGCTTAATTACCAAGGCAACTCGTAAGACCAAAACAACTGAGACACTACTCGATTTCATCCTGACTAATAACAAGACAAAGACTTTGACATCCGGTGTGGTGGATACTCAAATCAGTGATCATTCGCTGATTTTTACTGTCTTGCGGTCTGTGGCGCCCAGATCGCGTTCAAGAAAAATATGTTTTCGTAGCCTAAAAAATTTCAACCAAGAGAAATTTTTGCAGGATTTACGTATAGCACCTTTTACCATAATGAATCTTAGACTATTTGATGATGTAAATTACAAACTTTTCGCCTTTGAACAACAGTACTGAAGGACATTGGAGGAGCATGCTCAGGGGCAATCAAGTCCCATATATGAATGAGCAATGGCGTAAGACCATTAAACATCGAAATAAATTATGGCGGAAATTTACCAAAGATCGCACGGACACAAATTACGAACAGTATAAAATTCATCGTAATAAATAAAAGAACACTTTTTGAAAAAGTCAACATCGTCTGATAATTAACCTACGTGAGTCAGTTCTGGAATGCGTACCGCTCATTCCTACATGGTAAAACAAAGCTAATGATATTATCCTTGAAGAAAATAATGTTGTCATAACTGAGAAGAGTGCCGTTGCAGAGCTTTTTAATAATCACTTTATTCAAACCGCTAACAGCGTTGCACGGATAAATGACAGTGACTATGGACAGGACTTCGAAAATCATCCTAGTATTTTTGCCATTCATGAACATTATAGGGAAATCAATACGCCACTTTCTTTTGATTTTCACTGTACCAACTGTGTGCAGGTTGAAAAACTGCTTAAAGAAGTTAATGTGAGCAAGTCGAGTGGTCACGATATGATACCGCCACGACTAATCAAAGCATCGGCAGCTGCGATAGCTGAGCCCATTGCTAATATATTTAATGCCTCAATTGCTCAAGGTTGCTACCCGAGTGTATAGAAAATGGGGCAGGTGACACCGCTGTTTAAGAAGAGTGATGAATTAAAAAAAGAAAACTATAGGCCTGTTACAGTCCTACCTGTACTCAACAATATATATGAGAGGCTGTTAGTAGCACAGCTGAGAGACTTTTATCAAGCGATCCTGTCGGATTCCATCAGCTCTTACAGAAGGTTCTACAGTTGCGAGACGGCGCTGCTAAAGTTAATTGAGGACTGGAGGGCTATGCTGGATAAAGGGGAATTAGTTGCGGTAGTCTCAATGCATCTTTCTAAGGCTTTCGATGTTATTCAACACAATCTACTTTTAGCAAAACTCAAGGCTTATGGTGTGGGAGAGAGAAGTTTTGCGCTCTTCAAGGATTATTTCTCGGGGAGACAGCAGAGAGTCAAGATTGGGGACAGATTTTAAAAAGAGGAGTTCCGCAAGGGAGTGTTTTGGGGCCTGTGTTTTTTAATATATTCATCAACGACTTGTTTTATTCGGTCACGCAAGGTAAACTTCACGCATATGCGGACGATCATCAGTTGTACTCTTCTGATGTCGACCCAGTAGCTCTAGAGAACTGTATTTGTCGGGAAGTGAGAGTTGCAAATAAGTGGTATCGCAGCAATGGAATGATTGTAAATGAGTCAAAACACCAGGCTATAGTCTTGGGAAAAACAGGCCACTCCTTCTCTTTTCCATTAAAAGATTCTTTGGATATATTTGGAATAAATATTGACAATAGGTTGCGTTTTGATAATTATATATCAACTATTTGTAAGAAGATAAATGGCCAGTTCAATGTAATGCTAAGATCTCGTAAACTTATCTCTAAAGATACTCTACTAAGATTGTATAAGGCTTTTATTATGCCACATTTTAACTATTGTTCGTCTGTATGGTACTTTTGTGGTGCGCGTAGTACTGAGAAGATAGATACTTTAAACAAGCGAATTCTTAGGTTTATCTTGCAGGATTATAATTCTCCATATGACTCTCTCCTTAGCAAAGTTAACTACAAATCTCTGTATAAAAGACGCCTTCAGACTTTCTTAATCATATTGTACAAGAGCTTGTTTTTTACCTGCCACCCAGGCTATCTAAGGAAAATGTTTAGTTTCCGGTCTGTATCCTATAGTCTACGCGGAAATTATATTTTGTCTCTACCGTCAACAAAAACTACTACTTATGGTCTTCACTCCTTTTATGATATGGCTTCAAAACTATGGAACTCTCTTCCGGACTCTTTTGGAACGTCTGACTTTTCTGATTTCAAGCGCAAGATTCTACAGTATGACTCTTTTTCATAGTTAAATTTTAGAATGTTACAATTTTACATTTTACATTTTAGTAGTATTTAGAATTATACTTGTAACTCGAAAATACTAGCTTATCGTTTAGCTACTCCAAATTCGAGGTTAAATAAAGTATATGTATGTATGTATTGATCAAACAATCCTTCATGTGCAATATTGACATGGCGTCACCGCAGGTAAGGAGCATTGTAGAGTCGTTCCACCTCCGCGTAACTGTCAACTTGAATTCGCCTAAACATGTTGGTAGGATTCATCATTTTTCAAGTTTGGCATCTTGCTTCAAGGAAACAAGGTGAATGGTTAGTAAGGTGAGTCTTAACATTTCAGAACCGTCCATGGTAGATGGCTTCGTTTCAGATTGAAGCTATAGCTATCTCTATCGGTCCCTGGATAATGTAGCCGAAAAGGGAAATTGTCTTTTTTACAAATTTGTTTCGTTTAAACAAAGAAAGAAATATCCATGTCAACGACTTGTTATTTCATAGGACGGATCTTCATCTCAGTATAGTTGATTGAAGTGTCGTGAAATTTCCACTCATCCCACTGTGGCGGATTAGAATTCAAATTAGCGCGACCACAGTTGTTGAGCCACCAGCCAGACAGGCTGCTAACAATGGCACAGTTTGCCAGATCATTGCCGTCATTGTCTCTGTCACCAGTTGAAAATTGCATTCCGTCTTCTACAAAAGCGTTGTTAGTGTCACCATGAATTGCGTTACCAATTGTCCCTGTCACGTACTTCCCAACGCTTAGGCGGTAATTATCGCTTGAGCCAGATATTGAAAAGTTCCCATAAACAGCGTAACCCTGAGCGCCTGTGCTTGCCTTCAGCTCTATTCGCAGCTGCACAGGGCTTTTTGTTAGGCGTGACAAGTCTTGATTTCCAATCCAGAATGAACCAAACAGAGATCCAAAGCCTGCTTCATAATCCGACCAGTTCTTAGAGAATAACACGCCAAATGGACTGTTACGTCTCTGCACAATAAGCCATCCTCCACCATCCGTAGTTTGATCGCAGTAAACTTGATTATCCGGAGCTACTCGCTGAACACCAGTCGATTTTACACCAAGGTCATGCAATTCCTTACAGTTGCGGGCTGTGAAATGTAATCACAGTTATGTCGATAAGGTAGCTAGGAAGGGTAACACCATAAAGCCAGCTGGAAGTGACCAGCGAGAAAAAAGCTAAGTCGAAGGCTTGACGCTCTTTAAGTTTTGCTTCACGCTTCGATTACTTATTGGTTTTTGCTTGCATGTCTTGCATGTAAATTGTCAAATACGGAATTTTGAGCAAATCGGCTTTGTTGAAAACTGTTATTTCTTCGAGGTAGTTTTAAAATTCGAACTTTTCACTACGCCTTCCGTTTTGATTGATCGAAAGGTCTTCTGGGTTTTCCTTTACCAGTTTGTTAGGCGGGATACTTGTCAAAGTTTAGGAGCAATAATGTTGATTTGTGTGAATGGCTGACAACTCTAGGAGGCCAAATGAAATGCTTTTCATATCTTCGCAGTAAAAAACTACTTACCAACATTGCCGTAAAATGTTGGAGAGACTAATTGCTACTTTGCTATCTGTTTGTCGTTTTTGGCAATAGGTAACACTAAAAGTAGATAACATACCTTTCAGCCTTTCACATTGTTTACCGCGAAACAAGTTTGTGCACTGACAGTAAAACATGTCTCCGCGACACGTGTCCAAGCATGTCCCACCATTATAACAGGAGTACTTTGCACACCCTAGAGACCTCTGTGGAGAAATAATATAGTTGAGTATGGGAAACTGCCAGCATGTTCTTCATTTTCTGTCAAATGAAATGACAATTAATTTTGATGCTCACTGTTCTAGCAAAGTTCTATAAAAGGATAAAGGCTGATAGTTCGAAAGAAACTGTTTGGGGCTGCGTCGGTGGGAGTAACGAAATAATTTGGATATCTCAACAAAGTTGAAATGGTAAATTGGCCACCGTAACGATTACAAAAGCTGACGTTTCGAGCGTTAGCCCTTCGTGGTATGTATGTATGTATCCTCTTGCTCCGTTGCCTATGTTTTGTGACGAACCTTGTATGGATGGTCGGAGGGCAAGTACAACCAATGAGAGCTGTCATTCCCTTCAATAATCATTATAATAACTATAAAATTAATAATATTTTTAATGATGATGATCATAACGTTTATAGTATTAGTAGTAATAACAACAATGATGATATTAATAACTATAATGATACTGATGATGACAACGGTACCGATAATGATGATAACGATGGTCAAGTGATACAGTCTTCATGTTGATAATGAGCATGAAAGCGATTGTAATGATGATATAAGAAAATTGGCACTAATGATAATCTGTCCCTTCACGAAGACTGCGCCGTTCCGACTTCAACATCTTCTGTCCATAATAGCGAAAGTTGACAGCTCGAGCCTTGAAGAACAGTGAGCAACCTCCAACAATTCATCACTGATAGATCTCATCTTTGTGAATAACAGTCATCGCATTGTTAACTGTGGTGTGATTCATTTGGCTCTGAGTGATCATTCCCTTGTGTTTTGCACGTTAAAAGCAGGTGTGCCCAAGGCTCCTCCGCGTGTTATTGAATACCGTTCATATAAACATTATGAAAAAGGACGCTTCCTTTGGGACCTTAGAACAACAGACTGGTCCCATGTTTACAACGCAGATGATGTCAATAATGCTGTAAATACCTGGTGTACAATATACACCAGCATAGCTGACCAACACGCTCCGTTAAAATTCAAAGAGTTAAAGGCCTAAACACCCCGTGGATGACGCCCGAGCTTTTAATGCAAGACCGAGATCGTTTCCATAAGAAAGCACTGAATTAAAATTCTGCTGCTGCTTGGTTCATATATCGTAAACTCAGGAACCAAACAAACGAAGAAGTTAAAAATGCCAAGTCTAACTATTTCCAAGAATGTATCAACAATAGTGCTGGTCCCTGGAAAACCTTAAATGAAATCACAAACCCTGAAAATAAACCTGGGTGTGGTCCTACGTGTATCTCATCTGGCGAAGGTTTACACAACAATCCTATTTTTAATTGCTAATGTCCTTAAGGATTATTTTACATCTATCGGGACACACCTAGCTAATGTAATAAGAGATCGATGCATCACCCATAAGTCCCCTTCCCGGGTAACCCCATCATCATCCGTCTCCAGCTTCTCCGATGTAAATCCAAGCTTCGTGCGGAAATACCTAAGCTCCCTAAAAACGAAAAGGGCAATTGGCCTCGATAAGATCAGCGCCCGCCTCCTCAAAAATTCTGCTACTGTCATCACACATGTGTCTTACCTTTTTGTTGAATAAATCGCTTTCTTCTACTATTTTTCCGGCGATATGGAAAAAGGGAAAGGTGGTTCCAATTTTAAATCTGGTGACCGAACCAGCGCAAGTAATTTCAGACCAATTACAATCTTACAAGTTCTAAGCAAGATCCTCGAGAAAGCTGTTCACTGTCAGCTGTATACCTTCCTCAAGGAGAACAACCTTTTGACCCCTGAACAGTTTGGGTTTCGCCCAAACCTCTCAACTGAGGTGCCCCTTGCTCATCTGACTGAGAACATCCTGCATAACATGGACGATGGCTTTATTATGGGCGCTGTGTTCCTTGACCTTAGCAAGGCATTTGAAACGGTCGACCATCAGATTTTACTAAAGAAACTGCATTGCTTAGGTCTTAATACTACTTCAATAGATTGGTTTAGTCCTATCTCTCTGATCGTGAACAAGTCACCTCAATCAGAAACTGTCTGTCGTTTCCGAGATCAGTCACAGTCGGGGTGCCTCAAGGAAGCATACTTGGACCACTCCTGTTCATTATATACGTTAATGATCTACCTCGGTGTCTCCAGCATTGTAAGATCATTCTTTACGCTGATGATACGTTAAATTATTATTCTGCCAAATCAACTGAGGACGTGCAGACCTCTTTAATCAAGGACCTCGAATCTGCTTCGCTTTGGCTTCAGTAAAATCTCCTTACTCTTAACAGTTCTAAGTCAAGGTTTCTCCCATTTGGGAGTAAACGCCGTCTGAAGTCGTTAAATACTGTCGCTATCCGTATCAACGATAGTCCACTCGAAGAAGCTAGCTCCATCAAATACTTAGGTGTAATACTGAGTGAAGATCTATCCTGGGGCGATCACGTTAAAAAAATCATGAACAAAACAAACCAGCGACTTGGACTTGTCAGAAGAATCAAGCATTTTTTACCATTACACGCTCGGTTGACACTTTATCACTCTCTGATACTTCCTATTTTTGACTACGGTGACATCATTTGGGGTGACAAAAACAATGCTACGTTAATGAACGATCTTCAAATCCAACAAAACAAGGCAGCTAAAATCATTCTTGATAAAGCCAAATATTCTTCTGCAACAGATGCTCTTGAGATCTTAAAATGGAAGCGTTTAGATCAAAGACGACACATGCACTGATGCGTTTTTATTTTTAGATGCTCAAATAATATCAGTGATTTTGATTTTAATTTTAAGCATAACACTACCTTTCATAATTATAATACCCGCCAGAGCAACAAACTGCATCTTCCAGCTCCCAAAAAAAACTGGGGAAAACAAAAACTTACATACCAGGCTTCAAACGATTTCAATAATCTTATCCAGAAATTCAGGGAACTAAATCAATTCTATTGTTTAAAAAGAAAGTGCAGTTTTTGTCGTAGTAGTTTGTCAATTTTCAATTTTTACCTTTTTCATAATAATCCTTAAATTGTAATGTAACAATCTCATCTTTTTATCTTTGCTCTTGAACCGTCTGTAATTTGTTCTTTTATTTTACTTTTTATCTTATTTTTACAGGGCCGTTCTGAAAACCACTTTTATGAGAACGTACTCTGTCTAAAGATTATTAAAATTATAGAACTCCGGTTTAGTGTGATAACCTCAACTTTCACGCCTTGAAGGGACAACGATTTTCGAATAGGAAAATGATTCTACAGTTCGCAAAGCAGATGAATTAAGCCTATTTTGATCAATATTGTTGTTATTATCATGATTACTGACATTAGTGACAGCTATCTTGAACTCCGACTATCTATATCAGGTTTATTACAGAGTGCGACAAGTGTTGTCAAAGTGCGACTGCTCATATGCTTTAATAAAAAGCGCGCCGATGATCTGCCATTACAAAGTGCGACAGCCTTTTAATTACCAGCTGCGAAAAGTGTTATTACAAACTGCGACAATTTTATTAGTAAGCGTGACGGTTATTAAAACTGTGACAGAACATCCTGTGCGCTGAAATGAGTAATGTCGATAATCCTGTAAGAGGACGACTTTTTTGATGAACTATTTTATTTCTTCCCTTTAATACTGGTATCGATTTTTCATTAGAAGTGGAAATTGTATATCTAACAATAAGGAAAAAAAGGCCTTGAAAGCCCATTCACCTCGGCCGACGAACGTTTCGTGCAATTCAAAGTTAACATTTTTCGCTAGCACTACAGCGACCTAAGATTATTCATATCATTTTTGATAACATATCGCAAATTCCGAATACATGGCAATGAGGAAGAAGTATCCTTACCTTTTTCTGATGCTTGAAACATTCCTGTCCTCATGCAATGGCTCCTTAACACCTCAAACTCCGCAACAGAGAAGTAAAATGCGTGTAGCTATCCAAGAAAGATAAATTCTATATGCATGTCACGAATTGAACCTGAGGAGAGATTAGGACACTTGGGTTACTAAGTAATAGTAATTCCCACCCTTTTATTGACATCTACACGAACACTAGCTATAAAACAGGATCCTAGTTTCGTCTCAATGAAAGATTCCTTCATGAGATATGTTTTATACGAAACATGAACAGTGACAACTGACAGAACAGGGTGAAGTCGCACCAGGTCAGGGAGCCGGGGAATTTTGGGGAGTAAAGAAAACGATTAACAATCAATGGCGCCAAACAATCGGCCACTTCACGGCAAGTGAAGATGAATTCTTACGAGAATGCACCAAACAGTCATACCCTGAGAGAGAGAAAATCATCTGCATGCGGCCAGGTCAGTAATACCCTGCTGGCAGAGGCGTTAATTTGTTAACTTCCCCTACGGTTCACGTAAAAATAAAGTCTCATTATTTTATTTTTACGTCAGGGATCGTAGGAGAAGTTAACAAATAAACGCCTCTGCCAGCAGGGTAGGTCAGTAAATGAAAACGCTACAGACGCTAATCAAAATACGCAAATGGATTTGAATACAGATATCAGTCCGACATTTGTCACAGAAGCATCTGAGCACGTATGAGAGGATTTGATCCGTAGCCTTCCAACTGAGTTACAGAGAATTCTTTACTTTATTTGGCTGTGTATAACTTTCGTATGTGAACCTAAGGTAGGATCCGCTGCTTGAATGTCTAGGGTGTCGTGTGTGTAGATGGATTTTCCCGAGCTCGGTCATGGATTAAAGAACAATGTAAAATATTAGGACTTTGTTCAGTCTCAAAGAATGAATGATATATTAAACAGAGTGACCTACGGTTAACTTCTTTGCGATAGAATTTTTATTTTGGGAATCAAAACACATAATGTGGGTTCTCTTCTGTTCATTTACAAGTCAAAATAAAAATTGAGCATGTAGAAATGAAATAAACAATTTAAAAAATCGAGTTTTTCAATTTAAAAAATCCCATCTGGAAACTCGATTTTTTAAATTAAAATAAAAATTGGAATAAAACATGGATTAGGAAAGAATTTCCCATGATCGACAAATCTATCATTCGAACGTCCAAAGAATGATGATGAAACACAGACACATGAAATTTATCAATTGTGAGTTTGATAGAATAGCCACGCTAAACGAAAGGAAATGCTCCCCTTATGATATCTCAGTAAACGGAGCTCGACTGAGTCTTTCGTACATGGTCTTTTATTGCTGTCAAATGATAAAGCGTGGAAATGAAAAATTATCAAAACATCTCCTATTGATGACAGTTTATTCAGCTGCATTGACTATTTATTTCACGTTAATTTTTCCCACTATACGACAAAGCTTTGTAAAACCTTACCAGTCCTCAGAAACTGAATTTCCCAGATGTAACTCTATGGTGTTAGAGCTGGTTAATTATCATACCTTCCTAGAGGAGCGAAGGGATATTACCGATGGGCTTGCAATAGTAGGATTTTACCTTTTTTCATAATTAAAATTAAATTCTTACGCGATCTGACAAACAGAATAACTACCTACCCCTCTCACAGCGGATGCTGCTTGAAGTCTTTTTCAGATTAAAATATTCCTGGCCCTTTTCCCTTATTGCCTTTTTCCGAAAGACAATAAAATGTTAACGTATGTTAAGCCCCGAGTTTTTTTAGTTGGCAGATGCGCAGGCTTTGTGTTGACTGTTCTTGCGGAAGCCGACGAACTTTTGAAAGGTGTCAAGTTAAGGGATAAGTGGCAGGTGAAGGACAAGAGTTGCAGCGAAAACTTTCTCTTTCCATTTACAACTAAAACACTTTGAATGATTATTAACATGTAAAGATTGATGTATCAATGTGAACGCTTACTTTTGAAAAATATTTTATGACCAGAGACTCATGGACGTCATCTTAAATAAACCAAACAGCGAAAAGAAACTAATTATAACTGTGTGAAAATTAAGAATCGCTTCATCTCATGATAGCAATCTTTCATTTAACGACTTGGTTATTTTTTCTCTGGTATTTTTATTTTCAACTAATGTGATATCAGGAGAATATTAATTTCTCTTGATCATATGCACGTATGTATGTATTTTTTTTGATAAGAAGCCGCGAATATTAAACGTAATTTGTTAGAGGAAATCTACAACAGGATAAATCGACTCAGTCACTAAAATGTATTTTTGCCAATTGAGAGCTTGAAATGTTGATTAGTGATCTGAATTTATGTGTTTCGAGATAAAAGGCGGAACGATACCAAAGATGAGAGAAGCGGAAACGTATTGAGAACAAGATTGAGAGTGATCGACAGAGGGTACAGTTTTACAGAGAACACCAAATAAATGTTTGTATCTAGAAACAGAAACTGTTTATGTGACAGGAAACAGTTTAATTGCCACAAGATGAGAGCCGTCCTTGAACAACTAACACAGCGCTTTTTTAATTTTTAGACGATTTGCGCAACACAACAAACTACTTTAATTTTTGTTTACTCTTTCATATTCTGATCCAGTAATCGTGCCAGCTTCCCTTGGGTGGCATTTTGCATGACACTTTTTTGACATTTGAATCGAATTAAAAGCTGAACTTGATAAATATTTTGCCTGTCGTAACTTACGTACGTTACCTGTTGCCTCGAGGTCTAAACTTCGTTGGTCGGTAACACTGCATGTTTTGGGAAGGAATCCCAAGTACTCCCAACAAAGTTCGAACATTTGACCATATCATAGATGTTTTTGATGATCTTCAACTGAGTTCGTCACCGTCGGAAGGTAAGCCTTTTAACCCAGTCTAATGTACAAAGCAACTCGCTCGGTGTCGGTCAGGATTCAAAGTTCTAGAACTCAATTCTTCAAATACATTTATGGCGCTCAAACTCGTGTCACACAACCCTAACGATAACCCAATTTTTTCTTTTCCGTCAATGAACACAGAACAATTTACGTTTTTTTCCTCTTAAAACTCAAAACGGGAGGAAATAAACGATACGAGTTTAGAGAATATGGCCTAAGGTCAGCAAAAAATACGTGAAGAATTTACAGGAGTAGAAGAAAGCAGAGATAAAATTATTCTTAAACTCTCTGGGTAACAATTTGTTTCGAAACTTTTGAGCTCAGCTACCGAACGTAAGTGTAAGAACAGTGACGTTCACCGACAGTCGTCACCCACTATGTTGAATAAGAATGACGTATTTTCAACCAAGATTTTGCCAGTGGTTGTCAAATGTGTTCATTTAGTAGTCAGTTATAATGAACTGAGGAATCATGATTTTGGTGTTTACACGAGTTCAAACTAGTAAGTAAAATTGTTGAACGTGCTGTTCATAGTCAGTTATATGAATATTTAACAACCAACAACTTATTGTACATTAAACAGTACGGCTTCAGACGTAAACGCTCAACAGCAAGTGCTTTGTTAAAATTTACAGATGAAATCCTAAATAACATGGATCAAGGTGAAGTCACGGGGACAGTGTTCTTGGATGTCAAGAAAGCGTTTGACACTGTGAATCATCACATACTCCTCTTAAATCCTATCTTGAAAATCGTGGCAGTCAAACCTCAATTGGAAATTTCATTTCATCAAAGACTACCATGAACATTGGCGTTCCACAAGGCAGTGTTCTTGGACCACTATTGTTTCTTGTTTATGTAAATGATCTTGCTGATGTTCTGAAAAACTGCCAAGCTTCTTTGTTTGCTGACGACACTGCTATTTATTGCTCATCTCGAACTGCTCTTGATTTGGAAGCCAAATTAGATGAAGACTTAAATTACGTAAAGGACTGGTTAAATAAGCATAGACTTACCCTTAATATCAAAAAGTCGAAGCTACTGCTGATTGGTGGTCAAAAGAGACTGAAGCTATTGCGACAAGTAAACCTGAAAATTAAGGATGAGAACATTGAGCGAACTGGACATTACAAATATTTAGGAGTTGTAATTAATGAAAATCTCACCTGGTCTGACCATGTTGACTTAATATGCAGCAAAGTCTCAAACCGCTTAAGAATGATAAAACGCATTAAGCACCTACTAGCTAATAAATCTAGGGATATTATTTTCAATACAATTGTTTTACCAATTTTTGGTTACGCTGACGTAGTGTGGGGTAATAGGTTTAATTGCACCCTTAAGAACAGACTCCAAATTTTTCAAAATAAGGCTGCAAAATTAATAACTGATAAACCCCTTTTTTTCTTCTAGTCATGATGTACTGAAGTCACTGGGCTGGAAAGATTTAGAATATATGAGAAAATTTCATAAGTTATCTTTTATTTTTTAATTATATTACAAAAAACAATGAATTTTAATTATGATAATATTAAGCATGAGGAAATTCACGCCCATAATATAAGAAATAAATCTATGTTTTCTCTCCCTACAGTAAAAACTAACTGGGGAAAATTTAAGTCAGCTTATATGTTTTTTAATGAATGGAACTCTTTAAATGGATCACTGAAGACAGCGGTAAATTTTAGGATTTTTAAGAAAGAATATTTTAATAATATATAACCTTCTCTTCTTTTTGTCCATTAATATTATATTCAGTATTCATTAATTTATTTCATCTATCTTAATTCCATTCTTATTAATGTACCTAGTTCTTGTACTTTGAATATTTTACAATTATTGTTGTAAGTAACTTATTTTTATATGGAGGTGCCTCATGAAAACCACCCAAGGGTGATGTGGTTTCCTCCTTAAATAAAGTTTCACTTCACTTCACTTCACTTTCACGAGCTGCTGCAGCTTAATTTATGTTATAGGGTTCTAATTAGGTTTACCTCGTAGATGAACACAATTTCTTCTTTCACTGAAGCAGGGTGTAATTGATGTTTGTTCACTTTTTGATCACGGTGATTTCTAAAAACAAGGCCAATTTCTTGAAGTTTAAGTCAGAAACTAGAATGTGTACAGATACCTTTAGGTTATTTCCTTATAATAAACAGTCATGTAATAATCAAATGAGTTTTGGAGCCAAAAAAATTGCATCAGCCTTAAATAAACGATTAAATCAGTCTTCAGTTTAGGGCTTCGTGCCGGGGTTAACAATTTTAGAGGAAATTCTGGGTAATTTTAATTTGCGCAGATTATAAACAAATTACAGATTGGTATAGTTTGCAGCTAACATCTCCCTTTCGTTTGTAGGAAGACGATTTTCAGTCACATTATGTGTCGAATGGTCCAGCTACCTAATGCTTCAGCTATAGTGTAGGATTCAGCTCTAAAAAAATACTGTTTAATGAGTTATAGGGAGAGCGGGACGGGAAAATATTTGGCTTGAGGTTAAGAAGTACGAACCGGACGCAGCGAGCTACCAGCGTCATGAACAAGATTTTTAAATATTTCGAAATACCCTCATGAAAATTCAATCCTTTATGATTACCACAATCAGAGGAAACAAAACACAAGAAGATCAACGTGGCCAATGTAATCCCATGCTGAAGTGATCATTTCAAATAGTCCTTTATTTATCAATTCGTTTAAAAAATCAAATGGTATCATATACATGCGTTATTAACCAGCGTGAGGTCAAGATGGCTGGATATTAGGCGGGCTCTTTTTTTTGTGTTTCTATGTACCGAGACGAAGTGGAACGAGGCTAACGTCCTCCCATCTTAATCGCAAAAGCTTGGTCAATAAATGATTTATTATATAGCAAAAAGATTTCATTTTCACAAGAATCAAGAATGACATTTATTTCGAGAGCCGGTGTCCTAACGGATTTGGAGCCCCCTAGATTTTGACCCCCCGGTCCAAATCGGCTGGCAGATTTAGACTCCCCTCCGCGGATTTGGACCCCCAACAAAAACTGCGTAAAAATTTCATCCTTTACGTTCCCGAGCGAAAGCGGTGAGGGTTAAGGTCCAGGGCTAGGTTTATATGATATAAACTATGTTTAAAAGGAAAGTTTGGTGAGGGGTCCAAATCTGCGAAGGGGGGTCCATATCTGACAACGGATTTGAACCGAGGGGGTCCAAATACACTGCGACGCCGGGAAAGAAAACCACCGTGTTAGTAGCACAATAAACCCAAGACGATCGTTTAACTTTTTTCTTATTTGACTGTTTTCTACGGCTTTTTGCGAATTCGTCGGCCACCTTATAAAAAAGTTAAGGCTGTAAGTTCGTTCCACGCACCTTTTCTCTTGCACGGGATTAAAGCGGGTAATCTCGAGCGCGCAAGATGGGCCCATCCTGTCCGCTCGGGTAGCCAATCAGAACACAGGATTCACTTAATCTCAATTGCCCGCAGGCGCTGTTAGCTATGTAACAAAGCTTCTCTACCTGTTATTTGATATCATTAGGGTACGACTGAATTACAATTTTGCGCTCTCTTATAAAAAGACAAAATTTGAGGTCTTTTTAAAACTAAATTACAACTTCGTTCGTGAAAAATTTAAAGAACCACTTCAGTATAAGCGACTCAATTGTATCCTGATGGTAAATCATGCATCAAACCTATTAATCTTCTTATCTGTGTTAATCAATTGGATATGGTCAGTTTACCTGTTACGTTTCTTAATATTTTTCTTCTGTTAAAAATTAATTATGCAGTCCTACAGTCACTGCTGTGTTTGTTGGCAGTAATCTAAATCGTGTTCTTCCGCATTTTTAATTTTGCATTCGATTCCGACTCCCTTCAGAACAAACGCTGCTCCTGAAACCGTGGCACGAGACTCTTGAAGATCTCCAGACACTTTCCTGTTCCGAGATCCAAAGCAGTTTGTCAATGTCCTCCACATGTAACGTCGAAACGTTCTGTCTTGAGTAGCATATATGATAGGATTAACAGTGGAATTAATAGATATGAACACATAAGAGACAACGCGGAACAACTTCTCCGAAGAGTTCACACTGGTCTCAATTGTTGCTGTGTCATTTATTAGTTGAAACATCTCAAGAAAGTAGTAAATCAAATTGGGAAGCCAAGATATTCCCAGGACAACAGTTACCAACAACACAGCCTTGGTAACTCTTTTTCTCGACTTAAGCAGCGTGCGCTGAGCTGTGTTTGCTGAGTGGTCAGTAGTGAACCACAATCGGCGTACCACGCGCCCATAGAGGATTCCCATGGTTCCTAGCGGGAATAAGCCGATGACAAATAGCCACATGGCTGAGTCTGCTTTTCCAAGCCAGTCAGGAAAACCCCATGCACAAGATCGAATTTGTTCATTGTAATATAATACCCACGTTTCCGGCAGAAGAAAGATAACAGATGCAACCCATGAAAAGATGATCAACCTCCTCAGTTTTCCTTTCGTCATGCGTCCTCGGAGACTGTGTGGATGAATTATAGCGACATATCGTTCCCATGCTATAAATAGCAATGTAATCACTGCTGCGACTGATGCTACCCACGATAAGTTGGCATGTGTGAAGGTTTTGCACAAAAAGTCCCCAACCCACCCCCCTGGCTGCTTTAATTCAGTGATAAATAGTCTTCGTGGAATGAAGAACACTGCAAACAAGAGATCGGCCAGGGCGAGGTTAGACAATAAGTAATTCATTGGAGTTTGCATCCTGCGATTTCGTAGAACCACATGGATGACCAGTGAGTTTCCAAGTAAATTAATGGTGAGCATCAAAGAGAAAACGACTTTGAAGATGATATCATTGGTCGATGTCATTTTCAAGACTGACCGCGCTCAGCGCATTCAGCGTGTCTTGACCCTATAACTGAGAAAAGAGGAAATAGGAATTTTAAAGGGATAAGAAAGAGGATTTACAAAAAGAAAAAAAAAAACTAAACAAAACAATAACAACAGACTTACAAATGTTGAAGATAGGCGCAACTTCCCGTTTATATTAATTACAAACAAAATGCCCTTGAGGGCTGGCGTGAATATTTTCTGTGGACAAAATAACAATAACGCAACCGACACGCGATACATATCGGTTTCACTTCTCATGACAGCTTTAGCAAACTAAACAAAGAACCTTAACCACACTTAAAGCTAACTCATTTACAGCTATGTTGTAGCTACTATTTCGCCATAAAGGTCCAAACTCCAAAACCAAAGTCATTGTAATTTCAATTATTCTCGGTGACGAGGCCCTCTATTTTACTCGAAAATTTAATGATGCAGTTTTATTCGTCTTATATTTTACTATCACTGTGGTTCTCAGTTACTTCTGTGTTTACTTTGAGTCGTTATGTGTAGCGTTACCTAGCGCAGTTGCCGCAAACTTTAAACTAGTTGGTCGGTCACAGTGAAAATGGGGACATCTGTATCACCTAGCACCATATATTACTAGTTACCAATTGTGCAATCTCTAAAAGTTCATTTTCAATGAAACGGAAACCTAAATACACCAGAATGGCTGTGATCGCAAAGAAAACTGAGGAAAGTTCTAATGAAATGCGCCGAAGGAGTGAGCAACACAATGTAAACTTTGTTTTTGCAGGTGATTCGGCAAACATCTCAAAATAGGTTTGACCAGGAAACTACCCAAGAAACCCAGTCTATGAAGACCTTGGATTAAGAAATAAAAAAAGAGAAGAAAACTGAACGACGACCACACCTTTGGAAACTATTAAAAAGCTACCTTTTGGAAATCACAGGCCGGCTGAGGGCTGAGATTTCTGAGTCCAGTTTATGTGTTCTTGTGGTTTGTGTTTTTTCATTATTTAAAGGAATTGGTTTTTTCCCTGTTTTAACAAAAAATGTATTGACGCACAAGACTTCATCAAACCGAAGCAAAAATCGAAACCGGATTTAAAGTGGGTATCACAATAAAAGTTAAATAATTAAAAGCAAATAACTTCTGCTAGTAAGTTGATTGGCTATTCCTATCTACACCCAGCTCATGTGATTGAAGGAAAACCTTCTTTGAACCTCACTTAATTAAAATTTTGAAAACGTTTAAAGAGGAGGCGAAAACGTTGAATTATTTAGAGATGATATGCAGAATAAACATGCTGAAAGGTGCTAGATATGTCATGTTTATTAACATACCTGCCAACTTGCACGTTTGTGAAAATTAAAAATATACAAACCAGAGGAAATGAGGACCGAAGTCTGTTTAAATTTTAGAGCACATACTTTTAAAAAAATCAAAGGACAAAACTGAACTGTCAGAAGGAATTTCAATAAAACTATAATTTTTCGGCGCCGCTTTTTCGTGATAATTGAATACATGTTGTTCATCCCATTTGTCTATACTTACTCATGCTCAAAGCCTTCCAGTTTACTTATTTTAGCCGTTCGTTTATCTTCACTGATCATGCTAATTTTATATCAGTTTACGCTTGCCTTTGCGAAGACAGTGCAAAGCTAAAAATGGTTTATAAACAATAAAAAGAGCGATAAAACTTAGTAAGACTTCTTGAAAATTTGAAGCTGGAACTATCAGATCTGCAATTTTATGCCAAATCTTATCGTTTAATATTATTTTGCAAACTGTTTGCTTGCAATTATTTTGTATTTCCCGCCATGTAAAGTTAATCAGGGTTAAACAGACCCATTAGGGATCCCAAACTCTTAAGGTAGCAGACCTCATTCAAAAATAATTGTTCGAAAACTTTTGTGGCCCCGGTGATCCAACAAGGCAGGCGGTCTAAATGCCTTTTTATGCAATATTTAATGGCGACTGCAATAGTCAGTAGCAAAGTGCATCATGAATATTCTTAGTCTTTCGTATACTAACTCTCGTTGTAGACGTTATGTTTTTAATGGTAAAATGGATTCATGTTTACTGTATTAACCTCGCAGTCGATAAGGTGTCAAAATGAATTGATATTCGCTCGGTTACCGTCTATACTACGTAATCTCAGTCTTCTGTCCAACCAATTTCGTGTTTGGATGAAATGGGCAATAAATGTGCGCTTTGGAAGATCATTCTCTGTCAGCCATGTTTTTTAACGATAAAATGCAAATTGGTTCTAGAGTGGTACATCTCGACTGAAGAGTCTTTCAAGCACTCGAATATTAATGATGAATTTTATTTTATTTACACGAGAGACAATCGCAAGTCAAATTATTCGTTTTTGAAAGCATTGTGCTTGTCTGTTAATATTCCCTTTTTTTTTTTTTAAGTGAAATTCACTTATATCTTTGATAGTTTTTTCATAAAGCACCAAGTGATAGGAAAAGGAACTGCGAGTATCTTATTGCGTCAAACACAACAATTGTTAACTGAAGCATATATAGCCAAGAATCCTCAGTTGTCTTTTCTGTGCCTCAAAGACTTCATAGTGAGAAACAGTAAAACAACAGAGTATTGAGTCGCAGCCGTGCATTTAGAACGGAGAACAAATTAAAAGCAACCTTTGTAAGGGAACTGATAAACCAAAAGGTTAAAGTTAATCCGTTTTATCCCGTTCGGTAGCCTTTTCATAGGGATCATCTTCCTTGGCAACATATAAGGTGTCTAAACCATCTTCCTGCACACGTTAACTCAATTTTAAGTTTTCTTTTAATTCAAGAAACTTAATCTGAGTGAAGCGGATATTAGAAAGCGAAAGATATCATTTACTCACCAATGTTTCAGTTCTTTACGCGACCTTCAACTATCTTTGAATTCTGTCCTTTCAAAACTGTTCAATGAGACCAGATTCAACGGTATTGGTGTTTCAAATTTCAAATCATGTCCTGATGAGATTTTTAAAAAAAGCCAATTGTTTTCACAACCGAAGTGATTCAAGTTACTGGCTTCAAATCCCTCAGAACATTGTGTCGCTTCAGTTATGACAATGACAAGCATTGAGCCATTGTGCATAAATTTGCTTTGTCATCTTCAAATCGTTTTTGTAAATTAAACCTCACATGCGATTAAATTCAAAATTATGCTTGTCCACCAATCGGAGCATTGATGATCAGTATTTGTTTTGGCTCCACAGTAAATGCAGCTTTGGAATACAACTGCGTGCATTGTAAATACGAGCGCTATCTAATTGTTACCCAAGTTTTTAACTAAATCATAAATAGCCTGGGTCCAAAATCTTATATTTTGGGTTCATCTAGATATAATCGATTGACCGCATGGACGGAAATTTATCGTGTGTGGAATTGAACTGCGGAAATAAATCTAAGCCATGGGCTGCGGAAATAAATCTAAGCCATGGGCTACCTTTGTTATTAAAACATTGAGATTCGAAGAGAAAACTATGGTGTTTTTTGTCAATCTTTTTTAATTCTGCAATTGTTTCTTAAATATTTGTGAAAATGTTTAGATGTTAAAATGTAAAGTAAGAATTGTCAGCCGGAATTCCCTAATTTCCATTATAAACAAAACCGGTTTTCGGTTTTGTTAAAGTTGAGAAACCCTCCAGGCAACGAATATTAATAACCGGTGAAATCACAGAGTGTGGAATCATCAATACATCGTTCCTAGAACAGATAAGGGAGCTTTCTTTTTAACGAACAGTTAAATTTCAAAACGAAAAAAACCGAGAGCTATCGACTATTTAGCACTTAATGACAAAAACGCAAGATCAGGCGACATGGTACTAAGACTATGATTAATATTCGCAAAAAGGCCCAAAGCTCATGGTAACTTCGTAACCAAATGCATGTGATTAGTGATGTTGTTGAATAGAGGAGGCCAGCATCATTTGAAATTAGCTAATAACCACTACACAAGTTATCGATCGAGGAATACGTGTCATTTCTCAATGTATAATTAAAGGAATTATCTGCAGGTCATTTTGGAAATGATTACTGATGTTTATGCCGTTGATTATGCATGACTGACTACAACGAGCAGGTAAGATAAAGCAAATCCCGCAAGTGATCGCATTGGTCTCTTAGACGTGCGAGATAAGCTCATCCTCGGGGAAATTTCAATTATGAAGTGGCAGATCACCGCAATCCCTCCCTCAAGGTGTCAAAACAAAGAAAACCTCAGACTTGAACTTAATTTGGAATTCTTTAAGTGTATCATTGATAATTTGCTGTGCAATGAATTCTTGATTGTCAAAGTGTTTTCTTTTTTTAACTGGGAAAACGAGATATTCATCTCGTCTTTTTTCATGAGTTTCGCTAAGTTTAAACGCAACTGACGAACGAGGTTAATATCAAGTCCCATTAATGGAATGAACTCGGTCGTTAGCACATATGTGATATTAATAACAATTTGATTCTCTTGATAATGCTCAGTCGACGTTGACACGTGCCATAAATTTTTAATTTTTCGCCAAAAGAATCTCACACAAAGTAGTTTTCCAGAAATACAGGAAGTAGGAACCCTGAAGTAAATGTAAACAAACACAACATGATAAGGGCGGAATGGGAAAAGGAGTGTTCTATCACTTGCCAAAGGGAACTTAAGAACAACTGACGAATCACTTTAAATTTACTACAGAAAGCCGTGAATAATGCCTTAAATGACAGAGACTCCCCCAAGTCTTAATCATAGTCTTTTACTCGATCAGTAACTGGAAGAACTTAGTGTGTTTTCTTTTTAAGGGGATCATGTGTTTTATTGATGCAATCGATAACGTCTCAGCAAATAAGAAGCTTACTCGAAACACGAGAAAACAGAAAGAGAACTAAGAGAGGAAATTGTTTGATGTGTCATAGACATTAAATTTTTAAATAAAAAACGAAAGCTGTAACCAACGGTTGGTGATCCACTCAATGTTTTTGTTGCTGACGTCATGATTAATGACTACTGCTTGACATTAATGGGTTTGAGGCACTGACAGCTGTCAGCCCCTCATACAAAAATTAACGAAAGATCTAGAAATACTTTTCGAATGATGGGGTATACAAGCACTCACGTATTTCTTAACTCCGCTCGACAATTTTTTTTTTTTTAATATTTTCGATAAGTCTGATCATTGTAGTTATGGAACCTTCCCCTAACACACATTACAGTGGAACCTCGATTTAACGAAGTGCAAAGGGACTAAGGAAATTGGTTCGTTATATCGAGGGTTCGCTATATCGAGGTTCTGTGGCATACATTTTACTATACTTTAGCCGGGCTGAAACTGAAGTATCGTTCGTTGCATCGAGGACCTCGTTATCTAGTGGTTCGTTAAATCGAGGTTTCACTGTACTGTTGAAATATAACTAAAAGAAAAGGGCAGCACTGAAAGCGGCATCATGATGAAGATCTCTCACAAAAGCCACAGGTGAGAGATAACTCTAAATAAATGAACGGCCGTCTACATTAATGTCTACATTAAAAGTTCAAACGAATGTACTGCTTGGTTGATAATCGACTAGAGGAATATACGGTCTTTCCAAATTGAACAAAATTTACCCACCTTAAAGCTCGGAAGGGGTCCTGAACCGCAGAGGATGTTGAAACACGAAAGTCTTTCCGGGTCCGAAATTCTTCCTCAGAACGAAACTTAGTTTGAATTTCTAATAACTTATTTGTGAAATATTACGAGTAAGGAGTAAGATTCATTTCACGTTCGCATCGAAAGATTTAATTACGTTTCTTAAGTTGTTAAGAGGGCTATTATGCACTCTTTCGGTCTCTGTCAAGGTCGCTTTTAACTTGAACAATTTTTGATAATGAACCTTTTTGTAGGCGTTTTAACAAGCCTGCTGAGTGAATAGAACAAAATTTGTTAGTGGGAAGCATTTCAATTTTACTCCAACAAAGCGAAAGAACTGAAACTGTTATTCCATGCACGGTGCCAAATTGCTAAGGCGTCATTAAGTAGAACAAATAAAAGGAAATATCCTTCTTAACGGCGAACTTCAAATTTTAGAAAAACGAAAAGTGTGGACCTCCCAAAATGCCCGGAAGCCATCATCTGAATCAAGGAGAGGCGTTTGTCTGTCGAGTGTTTTGGCTGATAGATGTGTGAAAGAAATCCCCTGTAACGGCAGGAATTTTATTTACATCGTATGATTCGCGGTTAATTATGCCCATCGATTTCAATAAAATTTGGTATAACATTTCATCTCAGAGTCTGAAGCGAACCGTATGATGTTTCGTTGCGCGAATATTTACTCAATAGGTGAATGCACTAAAAAAGCGATTCTGTCGTTGGAAAAGTTAAATTTCTAATATATTCCATAATGTAGTAGGAAAAATTGCCTTAAATAGAAAAACGCGACGATTCCTGAGTTTGTTGAATATCAAATGTAAACCCACACGCAATTAATCTTATTTCTTATTTTGATTTCAGTGAGGGTTTCACCACCCAAGTTTCGACGAGTTGGGTGCAAACGTTGATTTGGAAATATCCCCGATTTTATGAGTAACTGCACGAAGAGTGTCTACGAAGTAACATTTGGTGGACGTTTTCCTGCTAACAAGCGAATGAGGACTCTCCATATAACAGTGGCTTTTCAAATGCATTTAGTGCGCAAGTTCAGCATTATTAGAACCTGATTATATTATAGTCGATTGTCGTGATTGCGAGCCTTATGTTCGTGGCAAATAAATGACGGTCAGTTTCAGTTCTATTGTCCATAATCCACGCAATCTTGCTTGGTGTAAAAATTGATCTGATAAACAATCTTGGCACAGTCGCTGAGGCGCCCGCTCACGTAGTCCTTACAAATCACAGGGGCCAGAATGAATGTTCGGGCCTGAACCCGCAAAAGACGAATCGTGAGAGGCACGAGAGCTTGGACACGAGACTAAGCTACCCCTCCCCAACATCGTTGAGTTATTGAAATACTATGGTTTTGGTTTTCTTTATCAGTAAGCATGCTCGATATATAAAGTCAACATTCGTTTGGTAGTCCAACGAGTTGATCGGAAGAATTCTAGCAAATATATGTTGAATTTAACTATAAAAGCTACTCCCAGCTCCCGAGCGTGCGAAAGGAGACTATGAATAGGGCCTCTTTGCCTTGCGGATAAAACCTTTTGACAATCTACCTGGTCGTTTGAGTGAGTGCAACTCTTTTGTAATATTTTCAAGACCGTGTTTTTCGGTCTGTAATCGTACGAATAATAACAAAAATCGGACGACCGCTAAGCAGATTAAATGATGATAACACACTAAATCTTATATCAATTAATCAAAAACTGTTCGATAACAACTTTGCAAGTGAATAAGCAGAAGAAAAGGAGTTTTTAAACCCGTCACGATCAAGGAAATTGTAATTTTCATGATTCTAAATATTGTTATTTTTATCATCATCGTCATCGTCATCATCTTCCTCATAACCATCATTATTGTTGTCATCATTATTGCTAGCTGATCAATTGACGTGAGTAAGTCCAGAAACAATCGTTCTGCAACATAAGCCGTACAGCGTACGGCTAATGAACTTAAATTTTCCGTCAAAAAATGACAGTTGGAGACATATTAAATGTAGCTCATTCGATGGTTTGAACATAGAATGAGAGCGGAGACTTTGCGAGATGCGGAGTAATACGAGCAATGAGAATAAAAAAAAATGTCCGCTCGTATTATATGTCAAACTATCGAATAGGAGATATTTCATTCCCCTTAAAAATATTTTGCTGTTTTGGCTTCATTTTCTGTGGTTAGAAAGTTAATATATAGCCTGAATTGTCTATCCATCAGTAAATGACGCGCACACGGATGACGCAAATGACTCAGAAAGTCTTTAGTTTCATTACATAATTGCTTAGTGTCAGCTAGAATTTTTTTGGGCTCTTGGCCCTTGCCGGGACGACAGAGCTGTTTTCGCTTTGAGGAACGAGCTTCTTTCACTTTAGAAAACTGTCTGTTCGTAAGTAGACCGAAATATTTTCCTTGTCTCTTAAGAAGCGGTCAAACTTCGTAACAAACCAATTCATATTCGTCCCCGTTTTATT